TATCCTATTTGAATCGATTGCAAAGTAATCTTCATCGGCAGTTGACATTCTATTTTGTATTAAAGCAAAAAAGAAAAAGAAAAAGAAAGAGAAACATCCCGGAGTCGAAAAGTCTTGTCATAATTTTTGGCAGCAAGATGGTTTATAAAAGACCATTATAGGCACATGGCGTTTCTATGACATCGTTATGTCCAGACCGGATCAAGCATCGAAGGTAAAAATAATTTGGCTGAAATGTATTTTAAAAGTATTAAGGACATGGAAGCAGTTTTTGCCTCCGGAATTAGATGACGAAGATGGCTTGTTTCTATGATATAGGTATTCGATTTCATATAGGGTGATAACATATACTCTTTTAAGAAATTACCTGCAAAGCAGTAACAATTACACTCTGGTGGTCTTTGTTTTCAATACAGTATTTTTACTTAATTTTTGGATCTTTTCAAAAAAAAAACTTGAACGGCTTCCTTAAATACACCAACCATGAATCGAAATCACCAGCATTGGCTTCCGACTCTACAATTGCTAACTGGGTCAAGAACGTATTACAATTGTCCGATGTTGATACAACAAAATGCAAAGCTCATTCAACACGTTCTTCGATCAGTACCAAGCCTTTTTAGAAGAAATTGACACTAGAAAGTTAAAACATCATGCAAACTGGAGTCAGAGGTCAGACACGTTTGAGAGATATTACTTTAAGCCAAAAGAACAGCATATAGAAGGTACCAGAATCGCCAAAGCGATGTTCCAACAAACTACATTCGCAAAATGGTAAACATTAATATACTCTTTTGGAAAGGTTCAAAGGTAATTTGACGTTTGTGAATATATTTCAAAACTTGTTTTAACCTTTCATTCATTAGGTTTATTATTATGAAATAAAAGAATTGAATCTTTTAATGTTCAAGGCTTTTCGGAATTTTCAACACGAGTTGAGCATGTTTAGCCTCATTTAGTCTAATGATCTTCGGCTTGACGATTGTACATGATGAATTTTCATTTGATTTTGCTCGGTTGTCAATCATTATATCTTCAATTTTACTTCTATAGTCCCGTTTTAGAACTTCAATATCATCAAGAGTGTTTTGTAACTGGATCCAAAAAAACGTAGTGAGTATTGAGGTTAAAATAAGTCAAAGTGTTATTGTACGGTCAAGTTTAAGTGCAAGCAAATAAACGCCATCAGTTCATTGTACATACGCTATTTCCAGAAAGAGATGTCGCGCTAACTTGTCACTTTCGTATAAATTGTATTATAAAAACTGCAAAAAATGCGACTTTCTGAAAAGACAATATTGATGTATTGTTGAATAGTTTCCATTTTAAATTCATGTACGGAACCATCATCCTTTCAACTCTTTTTTAAATTGCCTCTAGGTACAACGATTTCATCAAGAAAACGCAATAACTTCGCTTCAGTCACAATACAGCCATCTTCATAGCGATTTTCTATGCAAAAGTCCTATTGAAATAAGAAGTGTAAGCCGCCACTTTGGGCAGCTTACTACAGAAATATTTAATTGCCGCTAATACAAGTCACAGACGGTAATCGTTCTTTACAGATAAACCTCTCTCTCATGCTTTTTTTGGGACTTATTCTTACTAAATGCCTATTGAAGTTGTGCCATTGGGAGCAGGTAAGCTGCAACCCAATAGAATAGAATAGATTTGATGTCTAATTTTCTACTATATAGGTCAAGATGTTGGTAGAAGTTGCGTATTAGTTACGATTGGCGGCAAAAATATCATGTTTGATTGTGGTAAATAATAGATTAGTAAAAAAAAAATAATGCCCCCTCATTGCCTAGTAAACATTTGAATCAATACAGGCATGCACATGGGATATTCCGATGCACGACGTTTTCCAGACTTTACATACATATCAAAAACCGGCAATTTTACAGACATTATCGATGCTGTCATCATTTCTCATTTTCACTTGGATCACTGCGGCGCTCTTCCCTTTTTCACAGAGATGCTTGGATATGATGGACCGATCTATATGACACATCCGACCAAAGCCATTTGTCCGATCCTGCTGGAAGATTACCGTAAAATCACTGTAGAGCGAAAAGGAGAGACGAATTTTTTCACGTCAGCCATGATTAAGAATTGTATGAAAAAAGTGCATGCTGTCAGTTTGCATCAAACAATCAAGGTCGATGACGAACTGGAGATCAAAGCGTACTATGCAGGTCATGTCTTGGGAGCTGCCATGTTTTATGTACGCGTTGGGCATGAATCTGTTGTCTATACAGGAGATTACAACATGACACCTGATCGTCATTTAGGTTCTGCGTGGATAGACAAGGTGAGGCCTGACGTGCTGATCACAGAGAGCACCTATGCAACCACGATTCGTGACTCGAGACGAACCAGAGAACGTGATTTTCTGGCCAAGGTGCACGAATGTGTGCTGAATGGCGGCAACGTGATTATTCCTGTGTTTGCTCTGGGCCGCGCGCAGGAACTGTGTATCTTGATTGAATCATATTGGGAACGTATGGGACTCAATGTGCCTATTTACTTTTCCACAGGTTTGACGGAACGCGCAACTGAATTTTATAAACTCTTTATTGCCTGGACAAATCAAAAGATCAAGTCAACCTTTTCTCAACGCAACATGTTTGATTTTAAGCATATTCAAGTATGGCATCGTAATTATCTTGAACAGACAGGGCCTATGGTTGTCTTTGCGACACCTGGTATGTTGAATGCGGGCACCTCTTTGGAAATTTTCCGCAAGTGGGCGCCAAATCCCAAAAACATGGTCATCATGCCCGGTTACTGTGTCGCAGGTACGGTAGGGGCCAGAGTGCTAGCAGGGCAAAAGGTGATTGAGCTGGACAAGTACAATCGGTTTGAAGTCAATATACAAGTCAAAAACTTGTCATTTAGTGCCCATGCCGACGCCAAGGGTATCATGCAACTTATCAGACAATGTGAGCCAAGGAATGTTGTCCTTGTGCATGGTGAGCGAAACAAGATGAGCTTTCTAAGTAGCAAAATTATGAATGAGTTTGGTGTGGCGTGCTACATGCCTGCGAATGGATGCAGTATCCGCATTGAGACGACCAAGGCCCTACAAGCAAAGATTAGTACGGGTTTACTGAAAAAGTACCTGTCAGTATCATCAGACAATAACAACACATCAATAGCCGGGGATACGCCTACCGAGCGAGAGGCTGCAGTCAGCACCTTCAGACCAAAGCCTTCAATACCCATCCATGGCGTGTTATTGATGAACATGGATACCAAACAAAACAGCACAAGCATTGAGATCATACAACCAGATCAATTATATGAAGACCCAAGTCAGAAGAAAGCCAAAAGAAAGATGTTCTTCCAAGTTGAGAAACCGTTCAATGTTTCCATGATATTATCGGATATAGCGCATACAGAGAGTTCATTCCAAGACGATCAAAAGAGGATACTGGACATATTACAAGTTAATTTGACAAAGTCAATAGGAACATCATGGCCGATTGAGAGAAGTACGACGTCGATAGGCATTCAGAGTGTCTTGATTGATGTAGAAAAGCCCAATGTACTTTGTATCAAATGGAGTATTGAAGATGAAGATTTAGCAGGCTTTATTTTAGGAGCAGTGAATACGCTTTTATACAGCAGCTCATAACTACAAAAATAAAGCCCGTTTATATTATTTTTCTCACTGAATTTACTGAAAAAGATAACAGAAATGCTGCTAAATGAAGGAGGTATGGCAGTTTCAGTTGTTGAGATTAAAAGTCAATGAGTATCCCCCCTTGATGATATGACAACCCTTCGATATCTACCTTAAGCCAGAGACTGTCCGCAAAATACGTTCATATATAACGCGACATGTTTATGATTAATTCAAGTAATAATCCTGTGTTCATATGCTACATCAAAAGCAAAAACATGTACCGCCACCTCGTTGCTTATCACATTTCCTTCTCCAAATGGAGACAGCTCTTTTACTAAGTATGAAAGAGAAAACGAGCTACTTCTACAAAAGTGCAAGCAGACTAAAGGGAAGACTGGATTTGTTGACAAAACTATTGAGACGAACAATATCTGGGTCAAAGCCGACCTTTTATTTACAATCAGAGAATAACAATGAAAAAGTCCTCGAGAAGAGTGAAGAGTATAAAGCGAATAATACATTTTTATATTTATTTTTCTAACTTTTAGCTCAACTTTCCATCTAGAGACATTACACCTGCAACCCAGCCACCAGCCATTTTGAAGACAGTGTTTGAGCCTTGAGTCCTTGAAAATCTCAGTTTGATCTTGTCTAGTTTTTTTTTATGTTGCTCTATTTGTATAGTAAACATGGCCATGCCCTCCTTTTGTTTTGCTTTATCTTGTTGCTGTTGTTGCTGTTGTTGTTCCTCATTAGACTGTCGTGCTTTATTTCTACTGAAAAAGGAAGTTGTCATGGAAGATGTCAAGTGAGAAAGGAGAGGCAAGGAGAGCCGTTTACGAGCCGAAGTTGAGGATTCATCACCTACTCCTAAACTACTTGTTTGACTTTGTTTATGATTTCTTTTTTGAGGTGGGGTTATGAGGGTTGCTGAAGAAGCATTGGAATCACTTGGCTTTGGAGCATTACGCAATGTGAGGATGCATGATAATGAAGTGGATGAGGTCTGGAGGTAGGTGATACCCATCAATTGGCAAGTCTGTTTCAGGAGTACCATGACTTCTTTCAGGTGGTGAGGGGATTTTTGGTAGTCCATAGTGGCTAGTGCACTGTCGGCCATGTCTATGCTACTTGTAATCGAGGAGGCACCCGAGGTGGAAGTAGACGAAAGGGAGGGAGGCCGAGTAGCTGAAGGATGAGAAAAGAGTGGATGCATATAGTGAAAATGATAAACTTGATCTCTCGTCATACGTTGGACGACCTGTTTGATGGAGCTCTTTTTTGTGGTTGTTGTTGAGGTTGATGTGCTAAGTGATGACAGAATGGCTTTCAATCCAGGAGTTTCCCATTTTTCAGTTGATTTGATGCCTAGTTTACGGGCACGAGAACGTATAGTTTGGAGTAATTCTGATCTTAGTAGTTCTACATTTTGTACATGGACCACGTTGGTGCTGTTGATAGTATTCTGATGAGCCTTGGTTGTATAATAAGTGGATGGATTGATTGGATGGTAAATGACGGTTTTCTTGACTTTGTGGTATGCATTATCTGTTTCGAGATCTTTGATAAACTGTTTTCTTGTCATATCATCATCATCCATGACATCTTCAAATGCTGTTGTCTTTGATACAGGACAAGGTAATTGACCAAAATTGGTTAGCCAAGGATCATCCTTGAGTGCTTGACGCAAGGTCATTCTTTTTCTCCTATCGACTTGTAAGCATTTCTTGATGGTTGCCTGTAGTGCTGGGCTTAATGAGCTAGGCATAGGGAAATTGCATTGACAGACATCTTTTTTGAGTTCACCAACAGCTATAAATCCAAAAGTAAATAAAAGAGCACAGTTTTTTTTTTGTTTATTTTACTTACTGCGTGCATGTGAAAAAGGTTCAAAGCCAGCCGTCATGCGAAATAAGGTGATACCAAGACACCAACAGTCTACTTCAGGGCCATAATATTTTTGGCCCGTGATGATTTCAGGACTATAATACAACATGGAACCACAGATAGTTCTTAGCCTTTGTAAGCCATATCGATTGCCTAATCCAAAATCTGCCAACTTGATCTTTCCATCAGGTGTGACGAGTATATTAGGTGTCTATATATTATGATGAGTTATTATTTAAAAAAGATGGACTACTATTCAAATCTACCTTCAGATCACGATGTACAACCCATTTTCTGTGGCAAAAGTCAACAGCAGAGACGAGTTGTCTAAATAGCTGACGTGCTTCATCTTCATCAAGGACACCTTCATCTGTTCGTTGCAAGTAGTCATCCAGGTTCCAACCAGGTACGTATTCCATCACCAAAAAGAGAGAGTCGCAGCTTTCGTATGTTTCATATAATTTTACAATAGATTCATGTTGTAATAGTTCCATAATGGCTATCTCTCTTACAAGCCTTGACATAACACGATAATCATGCGCTTGCTTATCAATGACTTTGATTGCCACCGGTTGATTTGTTTCTATATGCTGGGCTAACATGACTTTACTGAATTTACCACTTCCTAAAGTCTGAACAAATTCATAAGGTCCAATTCCGTTAAGAGAAGTATCTTGATTATGGATTGTTGTTGTTGATGATTGTCTTTCTAATTTCTTTTTATTTTCTTCTGATTTTTTAAACATGTTGTAGAAAAGTCAACAATAAAAAAAGGGGATAAAAAAGAAGTGTTTATTATTTAGAAAGAAAAAAAAATCTCTCTCTTTTATGTACAAAAAGGGGAGTTAGATGTAAGTTTAGGAATAAAGAAAAGGGGAAGGGGGAAAAAAAGAAAGACTATAAAGCCTTTTTTATGAATACAAATGTCTTTTTTTGATCTTCACATAAATACACACATAAATAAATAAATAAATAAAAGGGGGATTCTACATAATTCAATATATCTTTGTTTAATATTCATTATAAACTATCAACTAAAAAAAAGTTTCATTATGATTCAGCCACTCCTTTTTAAAACTACATCGTGTTTAGATTTCAATAGTAAACTGCCTTTTTTATATATGTGTCGCCATGAAACAATCTTTGCATTTATGTAGTTTGAACTTGTGATCAAAATATAAAATCTCCCTTGCATCTTTTCAAGGTGGCAAATATAAAAATAATAATGTAAACAAATCAAGTAAGCTGATGTTGTACATAAACTTCCCCCTTATTTTGTGAAAATGAATAAGGTTCGCCTCTCTTTCTCTTTTTTTTTTCTTTCTTTTTTTTTTTTAATTTAGAAAACAATCAAAATTATTTATGTAAATAAAAAAGTGAATTAATCATACAAAGAAAGAAATTATGCAAGAAGATTAAAGAGCAATAGCAGCAGCAGCAGCAACAGCACTCAAGGCAAGAGCAACAGCATTTACGGAGACACCGCTGGCACTGTTAGTGTGAGAGGCAGAAGAGCCACTGGCAGAGACGGTGGAGTTTTTAGAACCAGCAGCAGTGGAGGTAGGTTGAGTGGCGTTACCAGAAGCAGCAGCCTTACCGATAGGTACGCTGCCGGATGCAGCAGGAGCAGAGGCAGTGGCGGCAGCACTTACGATTGCTATAATAGTCCAATAAATTAATTAAGCTTGTTTAGTATATATAGTTTTCAAAACTTACAAACAGGTCTGGCAGCACCAGTGCCATTAAAATTAAAGACACCAGAGTAGAACCAGTTGTTGTTGGCAGCTTGACCAATACGAAGCCAGTATTGACCAGAAGCAAAGTCATTGAGAGGATACATCTATAAAAGGTAATATCACTGAGTTTTAATGCTTTTTTTTTTATAGACTGTTTTTTCCCCTTACATCGTATTTACCAGCTGAACAGGCAATTGGAGTAGCAGGGTTTGTGATTTGAGCAACTAAGCTATATATATGTTAGAAATATGGTTTGGATAATTGCAGACATTTAAATCTTACTTGGCGTTTTTGGCTTCACCATTCATCAATTGAATGTCACAGTTCAATGCGTTTTCGGGAGCAGTAGCGTTCCAAGAGATTTCACCATGTCCTCCAGCAGACTATATATATTTGATAGTGTTAGACTAGACTATATTCATTATGAACGATCGAGACTTTACCCAAGTTGAGCTAGCCCATGGAGTTACAACCTATATAGCTTATTTTAGTCCTGAGTTGCACTAAACTTTATCGTATTTACAGTAATGGAAGCAGCAGCTTGTGAAGCAGCAGCAACAACGGCAGCAGCGGTAAGGAAAGCACTCTTCATTTGAAAGGAAAGGGAAGGGAATAAGTTTAGATAAAAGAAGAAGAAAAGGGAAGCGGTGAAAGGAAAATGAGAAATTTATACTACAATAGTGATTTGTGGTACATTGAAAACACGTTCATTGACTTTTAAAAAAGGAAAACAGGTCTTTGGATCGTTCCATTTTTAACTTCTTTAAAGCAAAATCACTACTCTCGTTACTTCCGTAGACTATAAATAGTGTTTTTCATATTAATGTTTGTTGTTGTGTCTGTTTCACGTTTAAAGAAGTACCCATTACTGCATTTCTTTCTATTGTTTTTTTTTCTTTCTATTCTCCTCAGTTTGAATCAAGCTCCTTGTTAGTTTATTTTGCTCTCCTTTATTTTCTTGTTGTTGTTGTTAAAGTAAACCATAAAAGTAAGCAAACATGAAGCACATGCATAAAAAGTAACATCTCGTTCATTCACTTTTCCTCTCACACAATTTTATTTTTATCAAAACCAGTGCCTCGGCGTTACCCTTTTTTTTTTTTTTTCTTCAGGGCCTAAAAGAGAGAAAGAAAGATGATAGATGAGGTAGATCGATTGTCTCATAAATTAGTAATTTATGTGTATTTATTAGACTATGCACACTTGGTTGATCCCCACTCTTGGATTATCATTGATCAAATACTTTTGTAGAAAGGCACGGTCACTTGTATTGATGATAACTTTGAAGGATACATATATATATATATATATATATATATACGCGTGTGTGTGTGCGTATGTCTGTGCACATGACACACTTTTTGGCCCGATAGCTTTGAAGTCGCAGGATCATCAAGTAGTTGTGTTTATCCAATCAAGTATCACATACACAGAAAAAATAGTTGTACAAGAAGGTTTGACAGCTCTATCGCTGTATAAACATCCCAACTTTTATATTCCCGTTCAAAAGGAGCAATCTGCTTTGATTGCTCTTGAACTTATTTATATTATTAATAAGAAAGTGTACACCTTTCAAACCATAAACAGTTATATGGAACAGTTGCGACAGCAACTCTGAGTTTATTGCTATGAAAGAACATAAAAGCCAAGTTCAAATGCGGCCACACAGCGTACACTGTCCAAGATAATGTCAAATTGAAGCTTGAGCAGGTAAAAGTGCATCAGTTACTGCAAAGCAATACACTAATGTTTTAATGACGACAATGAAGACAACAGTGTAAAAAAAGGGAGGGGAGAGAGCTCTAGCAGAAATTCAAAAAGCTCGAATTATCTAAAATCGATAGAGATCGGTTTGTGAAGAATGTATGGGAATTATTGTTGAACAAAGGCTCAATTTCAGCTTGTAAACAGGAATAAAAAAAGCCAAGGATGTCTTAACTGGACGTACAAAAGAGGCTATGGCTATTATCCTTTAGAAAAAAAAAGTGTCTTTACGTTACTTTACCGAAAGTGTAGTAATGATATATTCACGTCTTATAATATTGTTTATAAAAAAGGGAATGGCTAACAATTCAACCTATTGTCAGTAAAGGAGTAAAACAATAGAAAAAGCCAGTTCACAGCCACTGTGAAAGTAGGCTCAGGTCACACCGCCAGTCGCGCGATAACTAAATTTTGGGAAATTTTTTTTGTCATTCGCGCGCGTCGTCGTCTTATTTTGCTCCCCTTTTTTTCTTATTTTACTGTCACTTTTTTTTTTAATAATTCAGGCCAAGCGAAATGGTAGAATAATTAAAGACTAATACCTATAATTTAAACTAAATCGCATCATAGTCTAATCAGGAGGATCGTAAAAGAAGAAGAAACAGTGACGCTCATGATTTGCCAAGTGAATTTGACACACCAGCAGATCCTTCTGTTCTCCTTCCTTCTTCACCTGTCCCTTTCTTTTCAGAAAATGACCAGCATGATATTGTTGAAGAAAATGTAATTGACGATGACTTTGATGAACGTGTTCAATCCGATGATGATGGTATCGACCTTTTCGGTGATAACATGGAAGCGTAAAGTTGACTGAATCATGACTGGCTTAAAAAAAAAAAACTAAAAACTTTTTCGTAGTGATTATCAAGAAAATGGTTCACAGGATCAATATGAGGCTGTGGATATTGACGATGATAACTATGACCCTCTGGATCCTACTTCTCGTCGCCAAGTAGACCAGCTTTTGAATAGACGAGATATTGAAATTAGAAAGAGAGAAGGTCGAGTAGCCGGTGCCTTTATCGATGGCTTGGACGATGTAGATGATGCGGCTTCTCCTGCTCCAGTAAGAAGACGAAGACATATTTATGATACAGAGACTATTGATGAAGATTCCGAAATTGTAAAGTGTAAAATTACTGTAAAGAATAATGACTTACCTTTTTATATGTAGCCTGAGATGACATTGGCTGATATTCACAACGTCAAAGATGCATCCTTGGATGAATGGGTCAACCGTGAGTCTGTACGCAGAAGCATCAAGCGAGAATTTAAGGACTTTTTACAGACATTCACAGATGAGCACAGTAGTTCAGTGTATGGTGAACGTATCAGGGATATGGGTGAACGTAACGGTCAGTCATTTGAAGTAAGCTATGTACATTTGGCCGATAAAAAGACAGTCTTGTGTTACTTTTTGACCAATACACCTGGCGCCATGTTGAAGATCTTTGATGAAGCTGCTTTGGAAGTCACCTTGATGCAGTTCCCCGAGTACGAAAACATTCACCGTGAGATTCATGTTCGTATCACTGACTTGCCTCATACTCACAATCTACGTGATCTGCGTCAATCCTTTTTGAATACCATGATCCGTGTCTCTGGTGTAGTCACTCGGCGTACGAACGTGCTTCCTCAGTTAAAGTGGGTCATGTATAACTGTGCCAAGTGTAATGCTCTTTTGGGCCCTTTCTATCAAGACATCCATAGCGAGATAAAGATTAATACTTGTGCCAGCTGTCAGAGTAGAGGCCCCTTCATCCCCAACATGGAAAAGACACTCTTTAGAAACTATCAGAAATTGACAATCCAAGAATCACCAGGTACTGTACCTCCTGGCCGTATTCCTCGTCAGTTGGATGTGATCTGTTTGTGGGATCTTGTCGATCAAGCAAAACCAGGTGATGAGATCGAAGTGATTGGTATCTATCGCAACAACTTCAATACCTCGCTTACCGTCAAGAACGGTTTCCCTGTATTTGCCACAGTGCTTGAAGCAAATCATATCAACAAGAAAGAAAATATGTTCGCTGTATATAAGCTGACAGAAGACGACAAGAAGGAAATTCTTGCACTCAGCAAGGACAAGAATATTGGTAAACGTATTATGAAGAGTATTGCACCTTCTATTTATGGTCACGAAGACATCAAGAGAGCCATTGCCTTAGCTATGTTTGGTGGTGTGCCAAAGAATATCAAGGGAAAACACATGATCCGTGGTGATATCAACGTGCTCATGCTCGGTGATCCTGGTACAGCCAAGTCTCAATTCCTAAAGTATGTTGAAAAGACCGCCCATCGTTCGGTCTATACGACCGGCCAAGGTGCCAGTGCTGTCGGTTTGACAGCCTCTGTCCATAAGGATCCTGTGACGCGCGAGTGGACTTTGGAAGGTGGTGCACTCGTGTTGGCTGATCGTGGTGTTTGTCTGATTGATGAATTTGACAAGATGAATGACGCCGATAGAACCTCTATTCACGAAGCAATGGAACAACAGTCCATCTCTATCTCCAAAGCAGGTATCGTAACCACTCTTCAGGCAAGATGTTGTGTAATCGCTGCCGCTAACCCTATTGGTGGCCGCTACAACTCATCAGTTCCGTTCTCTCAAAACGTCGAGTTGACAGAACCCATCATCTCTCGTTTTGATGTTCTTTGCGTCGTCAAGGACTTGGTCGATGCTGATCTTGATTTCGCGCTTGCTATTAATGTGATCGGTAGTCACATTCGTAGCCATCCTCTTCAAAATGGTGATACACAGTATGCTCAGCCAACAGAAGTGGATGCAGATATTATTGAACAAAATCTATTGAGGAAATATATTATGTATGCTCGTGAGATGATTCACCCCAAGTTGCATCAAGTGGACGAAGATAAACTATCAAAATTATATTCTGAATTAAGAAAGGCATCCATCACAAGCGCGAGTATTCCCATCACTGTTCGTCATTTAGAATCCATGATCCGTTTAGCAGAAGCACATGCCAAGATGCATTTGAGAGAATATGTTCGTTCTGAAGATGTGGATGTAGCTATCAAGGTAGCCCTTGACAGTTTTATTAGTGCACAAAAATACAATATGACAAAGAAGCTTCGCAGGGTAAAGTTTAAAATGATCTTTTGTAACACATCATCTCATTGATTATAATAGAAATTCCGTAAATATATTTCCAATCTGCGTGGTCAAGACGAACAATTACTTGCTATTTTAGAATCCATCTTTAAAGACAAACTTAGGTTACATAACCTCAGACACGACACCTTCCCAGAATCACTCGAGATCAAAATTACTGAATTCGAAGCAAGAGCCAAGCGAGAGGATATTCACGACATTCATAGATTTGTTGAATCAAATACATTTGGTCAACACCACTTTACACTTGATCCCGTCAACGGTAAAATCTTTAAGCATTACGTACAAGCGCAACAATAATTCCCCCTTTTTTTCTTTATTTTTTAATGTTTTACAAAATAAACTCATACTTGCTTTACAGCAATTACTCTTAAGCGAGTATAAAGCAAAAACCATTTACCATCCTCTCTTTGAAGTGCAGGACGAAGGTATTCTTGGATTTCTGCAACCATCTTCTTACGCTCACTGTCTGAGTCTAGTGCATTAAGAAAGTTAAAACCAAAGGTTTCGATCCAACCAGCGACATCTGTTTCCAATTCAGTTGGGCGAGGAATGAGTTCAACATCCAACACTTTGAATCCATTATCTGTTAGCAGTTGACTATAATATTCAGGTGATGGAAAGAACCAAGGTGAGTAAGCTGCACCATCGATACCACGTACATTTAAAGCAGCAATGAGTGCTGTATGAACACCTTTTTGAATGTATTAATAAGTAAATATGTCCTTATCAAGAAAGAAAAAAAAAAAAAACATACTTGCACAATTCATAAAACCACCAAGTTCAGCAACAAGCCTTCCACCTGGCTTTAAGGTATGATGAATACTTTTAATAGCCTTAACAGGATCACGCTTGAGCCAATGAAGTGTTGCACTGGAAAATACAGCATCAAAGGGTGACTGTCCAGTCTTGTCAAACCAGTCATCAGCATCATGTCCATCTACGACAAAGTATTCGACATTCTTAACAGAAGGAGCACCATCAATCATTGCTTTACTTGCATCAATGCCTACAACAGATTTACAACGACCAGCGAGTTCTCGAGTCAGGATACCATTGCCACAGCCAAAATCTAGAATGTGTTCATGAGGTTGAGGATCGAGTGCATCAAGAATAGCAGATCCAAGTCGAGGCACAAAGGCAGCGTGCTTTACGTATTTATTTGATGACCAATTGTCTTGTCCCATGTGTGTTGATAAGTTTAGGTAGGAAGAGCAGTACTTTATATACAAGTTTGATTTAAGGAGACACAAGCGGGGATTTTCTTGGATAGGGTCATTTGCTTGTAATGATTGGCAAATATTGCTTGTGAAAGTCTCTGAGTCACCTCAAGTGCATAGCAAATAAGATATAGTCGTCTTGTTTAAGTCATAGGTAACGATTAGATAAGATAAATAGTAACAGTTGTTTGATAATGAATTCAAGCAGGATTATATTTATTCTAAATGTATTGAAATTTTTAAATGTGTTTTCTAATGTCCATAATAGACGTTGGAATAGTTTCTAGTTGATGAAGATGTGTGCTTTTCCTTGACTATATTCATTTCGTATCTATGCCACTCATCAAATCGCTTCATTACGATACCAGAACTATCAAATTCACCCTCACGTTTACCATGATCTTCCTTGTTTTCACCGCCTTCCACAAGACGGGTCTGTCCCCAAGAAAAGTCATCAAAATGCCAGTAAGCATAGGCTGGTAATACAAAGTTCCATAAAGGTAACGAAAGTAAATAGACGCACATCCAGCCTATATAAATCATCTTGCGAGTAGTGAGTGAGATCAAGATAGCTGGTAGGCCCAAGACAGCTGCCAATAACATCAAGGGAATGATAGGCACTGGTCTAACAAAGAACGAAATGACAACGAGGTATATGGTAAACAAGATAGCAGCTGGAAGCACAACTGTGCCAACAAGTTCCATAAACACGACAAACTGCATCGAGAAACAAAAGGTACCGCAGAGATCTCTGATAAGCAAAAGTTCCAAGAGGTTGTGAACTGTAGAGTTAATCCATCGTCTTCTTTGTGATAAAAGAACACGGAATGTGTCGGGTACAACTGTTTTACAAATCTATAAAACATTAAATAAGCTTATGAAGTGTGTATACGGTTTATAATTTTCTACAACATACAGCTTGAGGTACAAACATCATCTTTCTCTTTGGGAATGTTCGAAGCATAAGAGTAGTTAAAAATCGATCTTCACCTAACAACAGAAGATTCTTTTTGTGAAGTGTATCAACCACATTTTCGCAGTACATCTCAACGATGTCAGAGGAACAAAAGATAGGAACAATACGATCTCCTTTTCTTGCAACAATACGGTACATACAGAAGCAGCCAGGTAAGCAAGTAACACCACCAAAGACGGATTCAAATGCTTTGCTCATATGATGCGAGATATAATATTCAAATACTACACAAAAGAAGCTCTCTTTTAGTGTGTTTTCTTTAAATACCGAAGAAACAGAAATATACCTTGAATTGCTGTTACCCAGCTATCACTTTTGTTTGCAATCTTGGTTTCTCCACATAGGCCCATGATATAAGGATCTCTTGACATACAGGCAATCATTCTTGCTAACGAGTCTGGATACACTTTTGTGTCTGCATCAACCTAATAAGAAGGGGTTTGTTATTTCATAATATTTTTCTTTGAGCTTCTCTCTATTACCATTAAGCAAGTCTCGAACCGTCCGGGATGAAGGCCAGTTAATTTTATGATGGCTTTACAAAGCTGATATTCCAGCTCACACATTCTCTCTCCATAAAATATCTTTTGCATTGTGTTCATCAAGATAACCTGACTGTCTCGTTTGCCTCTGTTTCCTGGCTTTTTCTCCCTTGCTTCCATTTCAGTTCCACATTTGACTACAACAACCATAGGCACACGTTGCTGTTTGTCTTCGGGAATGACAGGGAATCGACCATCTTCATCTGTATTGTATTTATAATAGCCAGCATAGACCTTTGCCTTGTTGTGTCTTTTAACACCATCGGAAATAGCCACATATGAGTAAGGTTTCACTCTGTCTTTTGGAATAAGATCGTCTTTCATCATGGTCAAGACGATGTCAGGTGTCGATTTTGAGTTACCAGAGCCAGTGATAATACCATCACAAATAACCAATAACATTTTGTGAGAAGAGGGATAATCTGTATTAGCCAAAGAATCCAATGTGGTACGAAGGCCTTCTTCTCCTTCTGAATAGCAAGTGACAACCATGAGCGTATGAATCAAATCAAAATTGAAGTTGTATTCCTTTTTAGCTTGAATATTTGCTGCAGATTCGGCTGTGGGCAAACTAGGTTCAAAGTTTTTGTAAAACCTTGTGCTCAAGGTGTACGGGATATGAGGGGAAGCTATCTCGACTGTATGGTCATCTGCAAATAACATGGATCCAAACGCTCTTGAGTGATTGGGAGAGTACATGGACCGTGGTGACTGTGGTTGAGTGAAACGAGACTTTGAGGGGAAAAACCTATGCTTGGTATTCTTGGGTAGTGCTAGCGATGGGGTCATGGTGATTTCTTCCGGTATGTTTCTTAATTCACTGGCAGATGGATCTATTCCCGGTTCATCTCGCGGAAAGACGATACTGTTCGTTCGACGGTAATGCATCTCTTCTACATTATTCATTTCCCATTCAAGAACCTGGTTCTGTCTTTTTTTTCTATCTTCGTCCGTTTCTTCTCTGATCGATCCAAGGTTCCAAGAAATAAACCATCCAAAGAATAGTGCTAAAAAGAATCGAATGAAGACGACACCAAGAATGACAGCAAGTGATATGTATAGGACAATATCACTTAGTAAGCAACCGGTCGAACGAGTGTCTACCACGCCAACTTTTAGAATATCGGTTAGACACTTGCCAAGTTTCAGTCGATCGGCTGTTGTGCTAAGCCAGTAAGTTGCATCTCTTCCTATAAAAGCGCTTCCTGGACCCACAATTTGGGCAATTTGAATGGGTAAAGGAATGTTTGGTGTCAAGTATCGTAGTCGAGATAAGTCTAGTACATTTCTATCAAAAGTAAAGGATTAGAAAAGCTTTGTATATAATAAGCATATTTACCCATTAAAAACCATTAAACTGGTTCCTGGTTCGTGAATATCAGTCCAGTTATAGTAGACATCACCGATGACATTTAGTCTTTTAAGGGACACTCTTGCCCTGGGTGTAGCATGACATCCTATTCGTTGAGGGTTATCGGTGGAATTTATTTTCGGATTATATCTATCCAAAGAAACACACGGAAAATAGTTTACTACGTTGCCCTCTTGATCATCTGGAATGATAGGCTTCAATATGCTCTTGCAGTTGTAATTTACAGTTTGGAATAAAAATGACAAGTCTCTTCCTCCGATACCTAACTCTTGAAGATCACCACTTTGCGGCATACCTGGTACGGGACTTGGATGTCTAAATGTTTTCAAATCAAATGCTCTTCCTGAGATAACAATATGACTCTCTTCAACGCCAGTAGGACGGATTCTATTTGGGGTTATACCACAGACAGTAGCATTAAAACCAAACGTTAAAAATCCGACAAAGGCACAGAGAAAGACGATGATCATGACTAACGAAACCTTCTCACGCCAGATTTGCTGCATGCCTTTATCCTTTATACCTGAATGATTTGTAATAGTTATCAGTAACTCAAAGTGTATTATTTAATAAAAGTGTCAATACCACATGCTTTCAACAGGACAGGTGGAGTCCAGCAGGTCAGAACCCACGTTGTGGTGACCCAACATGATGGGCGTTTTTTCTTTATCGTTGCTTTTGATTCTTCTTGTTGCTTATTCTTTTCTAAATCGGTATCTTTTTTGTTCAAATAACGTGCTCTTTGAAGATCTTCAAGTCTTTGTATTCCAGTTGTTTTGATATCTGCAGACTCGGAGAATTTTTCGGATCTTGCTGTCGTAGGGTTCTCTTGTCGCTCATTGTCGTTGGAAGATTGCAGTGGTGTACTAGTGAGGTTTGTGGCGTCATTAAAATCGCTGAATGACTCATACATCCGAGTCAATTGCTCTTCTAAAGCTTTCGGAGCGTTATCTGTTGAGGACGCTGTTGTCTTTGGATTATCCTGTTGACTCATTTCAATTATCTTGGACTTAAGCAAGATATGGATTTATATCCATAAATATGAGTATTTAAACAGAGTAAAGAAGAGAAAGCTTGTCAGATTACTCCCGTACCAGAATACTCTGACGCATTCTTCAAGGGCATTTATTTTAAAAATAACCTGTACTTCATTTTTAACAGTGAGAATGAATCATTGGGAAATAAAGATAGACGCTTGTAGTTCAACATAGATTTCAATAGATCAAGCTTTTGGCATGTGCATAGTTATCTTTACAAAGGCAGTTTCTTTTACAAAAGATTCATTTAATATTGTTGATATAGCAATAGACCTGTTTTGCATACATGTTCATATCAAATATACCCCTCTTGTATATAAAAAAAAAGAGAGAATAATCTTATTCAAAAGCAACTGGACTCAAATCAGATATAAATTCTATGTATCCTCAAACGTTTCACTCGTTAAAGAAGAGAGAGAGAAAGAAAGAGAAAGAAAGAGAGATAAAGAAAGAGAGATAAAGAAAGAGAGATAAAGAAAGAGAGAAAAAGAAAGAGAGATAAAGAAAGAGAGACAAAGAAAGAGCTGAGAAAAAAAAATAATAATTATTTCTGCACTTGCCTTTGAACTTTCGTGTTTCTTTTTTTTCTTATAATCATGTCTCAACCTCCAGTTCAACCACCACCACCAGGACCATTACCACCGGCAGGCTTTGTTAGGCCACCTCCCAACTTTCCTCCAGGTGCACCCGGATTTCCCAATGCTCCACCTCCAGGTTCATTTCCTGGACCAGCTGTACCCGCTCCTTCACCAGCGCCATTTGCCAACGCGGTACCACCTGCACCTCAGCCAAAGACTCAAAACGGCATCCCTATTGACAAACAGCCTTTAAATACAACACCTAATCGTACAGTTTATGTTAGTAATTTGAACGAGAAAGTGAAGTTGGATGGTAATTGAAAGCATAAAAATTTTTTTCCGCTTATTAACATGCTCTTGTAGTCTTGAAGAATTCTCTACGCACGTTGTTTAAGCAGTTTGGAGAAGTGTTGGATGTCGTGGCTCACAGAAATATTCGTATGCGTGGACAAGCTTTCATCGCATATCCTGATGAAGAATGTGCAGCTAAAGCAATTAAAGAATTACAACACTTTGTTCTCTATGATAAACCAATGGTCGTTCAATATGCTCGTCATAAATCTGATGTACATGCAAAAAAAGATGGTGATTATGAGACACATTATAAAACAAGACTTGCTAAAAAAGAGGAATTATGGAAATCGCCACTTCCTGGATCTCATAAGCCTACGTTCAAGGCTGGTAAAGCAGCCAGTAAATCCAGAGGTTAGTTTTTTTTTTTTTTTATTCACTAAGGCTCCTTTACTCACTCTTTTTTTATTTATTTATTCCAGGCAAAGGTTCAAACTATAATCCAACTGCTCATATTCCAGACGAATACTTGCCTCCAAACAACATTTTGTTCTTGCAGAATTTACCAGAAACTATTACTCAACAGCAACTTATTGACTTGTTCCAACGCTATCCAGGATTCAGAGAAGTGCGTATGATTCCAGCCAAGAAGTCAATTGCATTTGTTGAATATGAAAATGAGATTCAATCTGCAGTTGCCAGAGCAGAACTATCGGGACATCCTTTGGGCCCGGAGCAATATATGAAGGTGACTTTTGCACGAAAGTAAAACACACATCTTCCCCCCTCTTCTTTCACTTTTTTTCTCTTTCTCTTCTACTCGCGTCGTTTTGGTCATGTATCATACTGTATTTACACAAAAGTCATTGGATAAGAATAAAATAGATATTTAATGCATCTAGAAAAAAGTGATTGACGCAATGTATTAAGTTTTATTATTATTATATTGATTTAGAGATCCCAAACAATTTCTGTCACGTACATAAAAACAGTTTGTCGGGAGACTCCTAAAGCATCCAAGTCATCTACATGAATCTTTAATTGACCAGGTACGCTTTCTTTATGGTTGGAAATGGCAACTGAGAGAGTCAAACGATCATCAGGATTGACTATGCCTTTGCCCTCTTCATCTATACCATTTATTTGGACAAGCTCATGTGCTGGAAACTCAGCTGGGCCTTCAACCGTCACTTGAAACCGTAGTGGCACCTTGGTTGCATGATTGATAATTGTCAACGGTAAACTGTCAGGCATACATGCTGAGTCTGTAAGGTTCGACCCTTCTTCATTTTCTTGATAGTATGTCACTAACTTGAAGTCAAGTCTTTCTTCTTGTAAAGTAAATGTCCCTCTTTCTTCCAAAACACAACGAACCAAGATCGTCTCTTTTACTCTTCCGTCATCAATATCGTACCCATCAAGATCTTCTTCAGCTGGACGAGTTGTCACCCAAAGCTTGGCTAGAACAATACCTGCTGGATCAGTAAACTCTGGACGATTTTGGGGTAACCGAGAGGATTCGTTTGGTGATGCTCTCACACGTACTTCTATACTTCCTAAAGGACCAATAGCGATATCACCTCTGAGAGGAGAATTGGTATAACGTGATAGCACATCAAGGGATACATAATCTTTCAGCTCTGATTCAATATCAGCGCCAATTTCAAAACGAAGATCATCTTCTGTCTTGTTGTGAATAATAAACCAATTATCACAGGTTGTATTTGGTAGCATGATTGGATGATGAAGAGTAGGCAAAACGAGGTCACCACTGCTTGATAATCTTTCAAACCGTAATTCAAATACAGTCATGAGCGCTTTCAGTTGTAAATTCATAATGTTGGAGTTGTTTCGCAGGTTTTCAATATTAATGTCTATGTGATGAAGACCAGATGATTGGTCAGGCATTTCCTTTGGTATAAGCAAGCCTTCGACACGTTGCGTCTTTCGTGAGGGTATATAGAATGTTTTCTGTTTTAGCGCAACTCCGTTTCTATCGAGTGGTGTAAATTTAACAAACGAAGGGCTGTGGATATCGTAGGTGGCAGGAACGTCAGATAGATTGTGTATTTGAAATTCAAAGCGGACTGGCTTGTAGGATGTGCTATGACCAATTTTACCCAAATTGATGTGGTCAACGGATATTTCAGTTCGAGAGACACAGAACAAGGCTTCCAGTTCAAGTGCAAGTACTTCAAGACTCTGGCGTGCGTCATATAACATCATCATACCTTTCAATGGCCCACTTTTTCCTTGAAGTGCCAAGGAACGTCCATCATCATTTAGCTTATCAGCAGAAGGACTGTTGATGCGAACACGTACCCTTTGGCCAGGCTGTAGAGCGAATTGACCACTTCTTTGGTTAAAGACAGGATTCTTGTGCTTCACTGCGATAGTTTTCACTTTGTCCTCATCTACTATCCAACCAGCAGCAATGTCAAGATCACTCAGTACCACAAGATGCATAGGTTGCCCAGATGTATTAGCAATATCAAGCTCACGTACATAGTGCTTCATAATATCCTGTTCTGGTAGATCTAAGAGTTGTAAAGCTGGTTTCTGGTGGTCTTCATCATGAAGCAAAGGGCGTACATAAATGCTTTCCCATTTAATCATTGGTAGAGGATCCGCTTCAAGATGTTCCGTTTGATCATCAGCAGTACCATGTTGATGGTTTGTCAAAAGGGTACTATGCAGCAGCTTCTTGGAAGGAAGTGCCCATGCATCTAATTTCTTGCAGTCCACAAATAAGCGAACGTCTATCTCAAAGACTTCTTGACTGTTTCTCTTATTGGTGACAATAAGTTTCTCTGTCAATAAGCCGTACTGGTAGGCATTGACACGGAAAGTGATCTGAGTTAAGGACGACGTGACAGCAGCCATATCATCATAAGAGCACCGGCGGCTTCCATAGCCTGAACTGTCTAGCTCCAAGTTAGTACCGTGCTGTGTCTTGCCATTAGTACTAATACCCATGTCGATGCCTCCTCTTTGCTTCGTGCTTAGCCATCCATTTAGCGTACCACCACGTCTATCCAATTCAATATTTCCTGTTGCGCATTCAACTTCATAATCCAGAGGTAACTGTCCAGATTTATTGGTGATAGTAAACGCACCATAAAAGTCCTTGTCGAGCAAGTCAGTATAGCCGAGGTTAATCACTCGATCTGACACTTCCAGATGCGATTGTCCGATGATAGAAGTGAATTTTACGGTTTGAGTCAGCATAAGAAGCATTTCGTCTTGGTTTCTTTCATCCTTTTCATGAATAAAGAATTTGATACCTCCAATCAGCTCACGGCACTCATCCGCAGAGTTATTACCAAGATAGCCTGTTAAGAGATTAGGTTGAACTGCAACCCAAACAGTGGTCATACCACCGCGCTTCAAAGGCATCATATCAACAAGACCACGTTCACCAGCTTCGTCCATAAAAATTAACACTTGATGTGCCAAGTTACTTTGACAGGTTATATATATATCCCTTCCAGACGTATTTTCCACCAGTAAAGGCGTGACTTGAGAATACTTGGAACCGGGATCAACATAGGAGAAGCCCAAGTCGAGGACACCGTTAGATTCATCATTAAGTGAAGGGAAATCAAGGTAACTTGAGTAATGGACAAGGCATTGCGTAGTAAACGATTGAAGGGCATGTGTACGCTTGTTTCTAATAGAGAACGTGTACTGATGTTTCCCTATCTTGCTAGGTTTTAATGAATAAGACACCTTTCTTGTTTCGTGTGGCTTCAATATCATTCCTCCACCATCTTGAACAACTTCAAACTGGAAGACATCATCCTTGGGATCGCCAATAATTTCAAAACCAACAGGTTCATCAGATTCATTCGCCATACGGACATAGAACACTGCTTTTTGATCAATCTCGATACGACCACTGTCAAAGAAATCGCGCTCTAGCTTCAAATAATCCTCGTTTTCTCTCTGTCCCTCCTCCTTCATTTCGGGGATATTTCCTTCAACAAATGGAGATTCTGAAAGAGAACGCACTGGTGTAGTAACAATACTGACCGTACCGGAGACAGGGGTACTTTCAGCTTTGGAGCTGCCGTCACCATTATCCTTTGTTAAAGCATCGACAAACAAAGCTTCATCTGCAAACACATTGGCAGTATAGACAACACTTTTGCAGACATCTGTGTTTTTGTATTCATGAACCAGGATACGTCCCTTGATAGATATAGGTTGGCTTTTTGTAGGTATATCAGAAGTATGCAGAGGTCTTGGCACAGGTTTGAATGATACCCGGACTGTCTTGGTGGCATGGGCATCCAATGGAAATACAACGCTCTCTGCCGTCTTTTTAAACACAGCACCACCTTCCTTTGCAGCATTTGTTAACGCTAATGAACTACTTGATGATGAAGAACCGAGAGGTGTATCAGGTAATGCAGTGTCCTTTGCTCCAGTAGCTGGAGCAGACTTTGAATCCGCTTGATCCAAGTTTTTCAACTTTGCCAACTTGCGCAGATACTTTTTAACTTTATCCGGCTGAGCCTTACGTTTAGCAATTTTGAGTTTCTGCTCCAAATTTTCAATCTCTTCTTCTGCTTCTTTTGATATTGTATTGGTTTCATCATCCTTGACATCAAAGTCAAATTCACCATAAAAGTGGCCAAAGTCTACTTCATTTGGATCCACGCGAACTTCAAACATACGTGATTGCTTGTTCGTGTTGGTCAGGACAATTGATTCTGAGCGAGGACATGTTTGGTCTATTAGACAATCACCAAACGTTATCTCCAAAGACTTGATCAAGAATGTAGAAGGTTTTCGCACTTGAGCTTTCAACAGCAACACCTGGTCGTTCGTTCTGTCCCTAATGTTTTCTACAATCAGCTTCTCCATAAAGGGGCCAGGTAATGTGGGTTCAAAGATAAATTCTACCTCCCGTTTACCATAAGCCCTTACGACACCATATCGACCGGCATCCAGTTCGATATCACCCGAAGCAATAGACCCTGACTTACGGATGGCGTACAGCAATGGCGTCTCACTCCGGTTATGAAGCACTATGGTTTTGGTATGCCGTTCATTTCGTTCCACCAAGCCGAAATTAATGTTCTTTTGACCCAAGTCCATGACTGATCGACATAGCTGAGAACGTAGTATGACTTCACGAACAGGTATATCAGCATTATCCAGATCAAGCAGATTTTCAAATTCAGTTTGCTCAATGTTACGATCAAACTCCAAAAGCCTCAAAAAGACGCGGGCATCTTGTTTCTTAGGTGCAGACTGTATGTGTGGTTTTGTAGCGCTTGCTGGTGTCATGACAACAACCACTTCCTCCTCTTGCTTAGGATCCACGCAGACAACAGATGTAGGCACCAAAATCTTTTTTTCAATCAACCGGTTTAGCTCACGTCTCCAAGCCAATTGATAACGAACAAACTGTTCTTCTGCAGCTTGTTTTGGAAACAGAGGTGGAGCCGCCTTAGATCCATGCTCAAGTACAGAAATAAGGTCCTCAAATGGAACTCGAGACTTGCCAGCGATATCAGACCAATCCAGATTTTTCCTTGACTTGTATCGAGCAGCAGTAATCCCCAAAGACCGCTTCGTTTTAGCACTTCTCGTCCCAAAACTATCGTGACGTCCAATGTTGTCCAAAATCTTGACAGAAGCAACATCCCTCTTACCTGTTGTAACAGTCAGCTTCTTAGTAGAGGGTGTTGACGATGCTGAGCTCGATGGTGAGGAGCCGTTAGAGTTTTGTCGATGTTGAACTAATCGACTCCGTTTAAGAAGCTCTATAGTTTCAGGCGCCATGTCTTTTCCGTTGGCAATGCTGATCAATCGGCCATGGCGCGTATTCTTGAGCAAAGGCGTATTTGGGTCAATCTGAATGATTCTTCTCTTCTTTGCCTTTATGGGAGGTAAAGCTAAATCAAGGTAGGCAGTAGATAAATGAACCTGATCCATTTTAAGCTGCTGAATGCAGGCTTGTATCTTCTTGGACGCCAAAGAATGCTTATTATTGTCACTGATCGCTTTTTGCTGTAAAACATTTGTATCATCCGAGAGCTTGGCTTTTGTATTGGACGTAATACGACGACTACTGAAGGATTCCGGGGACGGTTTAGAACGCCTTCGAGGAGTGACTGAACGGGAAGAGAGGTTAGGTACACTGTAATTTTTGTATTTAAGCGTAAATGCATCGTTACCTTCATTCATCTCTGCTTGTATTTCTGATTGATCTTTACTGCTCTCTTCTTTTTCAATAGATTCTGCTGTGATGGAATTCAGCAACTTTGAGGTTGGAGGCGACGATGCAGCTGATGTTAAAGCATCTTCGGCTGGCTTTTGCTTATTTCTTGTATAAATAACAATGTCTCCAGGTAGTGATGTTGTAATCTCTAAAGTCAATGGCTTGTCTCGAATGTTCTCAATCGTGAACGTTCGAATCGCAGGCGAATTCAAAGCGATCGACCCAAAATCCAAGAAGTTAGCACCAGTTGCAGTCAGGATACGATAAAACAGAGAATGAAATGTCACTCGGTTCTTATCAATATTGGTACTGTGAACTTCAATGATCTGATCGTTGTCCTTGTTTAGATAATTCACCAAAGTAATCTGTTTACGGTAATCTGGGTTGACTTTACGAGGGTACAAATCTAGTTTAAGCTCGACATAACTCCTGGGCTGTATCGTAATTTCGCCTCGTTGGCAATTTAGGACCTTTGAGATGAACTGCAGTTCGACTCGAGCCACAATGTCAGATCTGTTAAAGATCTTGATGGGCAATGATTTCAGTGTGCCCACGTCAGTATCGCCGAAATTAATCACTTTAGGAATAACTTCAACAAACGAAGTACATGTTCTTGCTCTACATTGAATCACCTTTCGCTGTTTAGGTTCTGCAGATCGAAATGTACCATACTCAAGCATGATTCTAAAGCTTCTTCGAATCAATTGGCCAGCATTAAAGTCGTTGATGGACGCATCTTTTTGTGGACGATAAGACACTTGAATGGTTCGCTCTGTACCTGGCTTAATTACGAGATCTTCGATTCGAGTGTAGTTCTCGGCTGCCCCTTGAACTGCTTGTGCTACATTTGAAGCATTGGCAGTAGTACCAGCAGTAGTGGCCATAGTGGTTGAATTGGTAGTAATACTGATACCATCACTCCAAGAGCTTGTTTCTGTATACAAGGCATTGATCTCTCCAACTGTACCGTAATCCGAATCAGAATCCTCGACAATTGTAGGCTGAGAAGGGAAGTAGACACGTGAACCACTAGGCGGTAATTCGGTCACAGGTGAAAGCACGCTATCGGGTTCAGTGACTGTGCGAGATGGCGTTGGTGATGTCGACCTGGAGCTAAATTCACTGTTCTGACCTGACACTTCACTATATCCTGCAACAGGTGTTGTTGCTGTAGTAGGCGTTGTAGGCGTCGCAGTACGATTACTGCTATTGTTACTGTTGTTAAACTTTCGCCTGATGAACCTTGACGCTGGTGTTGGTGTAGATGATGTGTTATCGGGTTGTGTATCATCAGCAGCTGTATCTTGTTTGATATCAAAGATAACTTCAGCACCTTCTGGAATAAACTTGACTTCCACAGGACTTTCACTGATATTGTTCAATACAATTTGTTGAACAGCCCAAGTACCCGATATACAGTCTCCAAAATCAACGACTTGACCACTACTCACAATCAACGTTTCTTTTCTCAAGACAGACCGCACGGTCGCGTGCACTTTGGTTTGTACGACATTTCGAGAGTCATTTGCATTTTCCAGTTGCAAATCATAATTAAATTCGCCTACTTCTTTTGGCATAAAAATGACACGAATTTGTCTTGTTGCATAACTTGCGAGTGACGTATATGAATTATGTATTGGATCACCTGTGAGGACATCAATGAATTGGAGTGAGTAATTTGAGTAAGCAACTAAATCAGATATGTTGAGTAGCCAAAAGAGGTCGATTTCTGATCGATTATGGATAGTAAAGTCCTTATAATATGTCTCTCCTAGCACGCAATCATCAAAGTTAAGTCCGGTTTGTGTGATGTCTGTCCATAATGCAGATTGACATACACTTGCTCTAAATTTGACAGAGACTTGATAGTCGGCTAAGGTCGAAGTAGACAACACATCCTTATGATCATCCAATGAAGGTGACATCGTATCAAGATAATAACCGAAAAAGAATATACTTCCAGTGACGTTGAATATGTTGAATGTATGTGAATCCTCTTCATCCAAGATGGTATTATAATCACTTGTATCTTCTGGTAAAAATGCGAGTATAAATGGTCTAGTCTCGTTAGGTTTGAGTTCAATCTGATCAATATGGTTGATATAATTGAAGAGTTGATTAAAAGGATGATCTTGCCGAGACCAATCGACTGTATTTGTAGTTGCAGAGAAATCGGAAAGATTGGAAATATTCTCGTTTTCAAGTTGAAAGGCGATTTGATTTCGTAAGTTAGAGCGCATTTTAATTGAAATGGGTCGATTGGAGAGATTACGTAGATGTAAACGTCGAAGTGCATGTAAACCATTGAGATAGACGTTGTCCAGTGTTATTCTACCATGAACACCGACAAGTTCAAACATGGTTGTATTCTTTTCTAAGGCTATTATTGCTGCGGTGTCCTGGTTATTCATTATATTTGTTAATCTATAATGCATTAGATCTTGTCATATTAAACAAAGGTATAGGTTACCATATATAGTGAATCAAGGTGATGCTATGTACAAAACGAGAAAGAAAGAAAGAAATAGAGAGAGAGTAGTGACAGTGGTCTTTTGATTTCTCTTTATGCAAAAAGGAAAAGAAGAAAAGAAAAGAAAAAAAAAGAGAGAGAGAAATATATATATAAAAAAAATGTTGCACCAGATGAACTGACAAAGTTTAGATACACACACAACAATATATACAAAGCCCGATGTTGTATGTGTGTGTAATCCACTAGATGTCACGTGTACAGCTTGATCGAATGATTGTCCTCGGGGAAAGTTCTGATTCCGAAAGACCATAGACAAAGGACAAGATGACGATATGATGTATATTCCCTTGAGAATGTTGCGGTCAATATCATGTTTTAAGTAAAAAGAGAACAAGGATTTGTCAATGATGGTACAGCTTTTCTTTCTTTCTTTTTTATTATGCGTAGAATTGGATACAAGGGAAAAAAAGACTTGATGAGACTAGTAGCTTTTGCATAAAGTGATGGAGCATCTCACAGAGCAACTTATTAATAAATAAATAAATAAAAAAAACAGGTTACTATAACCTTACTGTCGAGATATGCATAAAATTAATCCTATGAAAATCAAAGAAATATATGAGTACATGTTTTGATTTAGACTACAAAAGTAGTTGATAAAGCGTGGTCAAAAAAGAATAAGGTTTCCAAAACAAGACCTTGATCTTGACTCATCTCGTCAAGCTTGGCTCTTTTAAAGAAAGGAATAACAACAGTAAAGTCAGTGTAATGACAGGGCATTATTTCAATTTTATCATCATTCTAAATGTGTTAGATCAGTACTACCTTGTTATGGACAATGCACCGGCCCATATGAACACTAGTATTTAAAAAGTACATTGTGGCCTGTGGACATCCTTGGGTTTAGCTTCCTATCCCCGTATTCACCCGAATTTAACTCATCAGTGGAATGGTTTTGGCTTGTATAAAGAGAAGAACTACTGCAAAAGCAGTCCTCATGTATTGTGTAAACATTGAGGACATTTGACAGTTGACCGCCAATCAAGTTTCGGTTTACCGTTTGTATGACGAGTTCAATTTGTTGTATGAGGATCCCAAGGTTACTAGGTCTAGTCTCATCCCAAGATAAGCTGTGCAGCTACGGTAACGATGGATACTTCATATCAACAATAACGTGCCCACTTTAAGAACTATATTCTCGCAACATCAATTTTTTGGTCCTGTGCAAGACACCTCGTGGTGCCCAGCTTTTTAGTTTATATCCTCTTTCATGTTGCTGTGTGCTTTGTGATAGCATAACTGCAGGCATCTTTCATCCTGCTTTACCTCTCTTTGCCTCGCTTGCAAACATGGTTTTAATAAACACAATATAAAGCCTTTTAACAATACATTCGAGTGTATAACAATACAAAATAATATCAATTCGTAAAGACTTCCTTTCGGATCAAGAGTGAAGAATGAAACAAGATAAACTATCAAGCGCTTGAAAAGAGTTGATTAAGCCAGTCAAAAGAACTTTTTGGGGACACTTAGCGGAAAGAATTCTTTGATAAACTGCAATTTTTATTGTTGACGGCTTATCACTTCATCATTGACAGCTGTAAAGGGTGTGCTACATGTTGTCACCACTGTCAGCAGAGCAAGGGCGGCTCTACGGAGAAAAAAAAGACCGGTTTTGCTCCGCAAAAGCGCGAATCAGATTATAAAAACGATCGTCCAATCAAAATTTGATAAAAAAGCTTTTGTGCTATTCGTCAAGAAGATTCCCAGTCACCAAGATTGCTCCTCACACTGATACTTTTTCCCCCTCCCTCTCTCACATTTTTTCTTCTTTTGTTTACTACGCATAAACATGTTGGGAAGAACATTAAGACAATCCGTTCTAAGAGCAAGCTTCTCTACAGCTAAAAGGACAGCAATTCCTGCTACTTATCGTCTATTCTCTACTGGATTGACAACCAAGCAGGAAGCAGAAGCCATTAAGCCAACAGAAGGTAAAATAAGGAGATAAGGGCTATATTTTTGTGCTAAAACATAGCCTTGCCATAGATTCATTAGGTTTCGAACAAACAGCAGTCAAAAATGAAGGTCGACCTATTTATCTTGATATGCAAGCTACTAGTCCTATGGATCCTCGTGTGCTAGATGCTATGCTTCCATACATGACTGAATTATACGGTAACCCTCATTCAAGAACTCATAAATATGGTTGGGAAACTGAAGAAGCCGTTGAAAAGGCTAGAGAGGTACAACTTTTATTATATTGAAAGGAAAAAAGGGTTATCTAACGTTGTTATCATAGTATGTGGCCAAATTGATTAATGCTGACCCCAAAGAAATCATCTTTACTTCTGGTGCAACTGAATCAAATAATATCAGTATCAAGGGTGTTGCCAGATTCTACAAGAACAAAAAGAGACATATCATCACTACCCAAACTGTAAGCATAGGCGAGGGAGCACATAATAGTGAGCTTATTCGTTTAATATAGGAACATAAATGTATTTTGGAATCCTGTAGATCTTTGCAGCAAGAAGGCTTTGACGTAACCTACTTGCCAGTTCAATCCAATGGCCTTGTCGACTTGAAGAAACTCGAGGAAGCCATCCGTCCTGATACCGCCCTTGTCTCCATAATGACCGTTAATAACGAAATTGGTGTTATCCAGCCCATTGAAGAGATTGGCAAATTGTGTAGGGCGAAAAAAGTCTTCTTCCATACTGATGCTGCACAGGCTGCCGGTAAGGTTCCTCTGGATGTGAATTCCATGAACATTGACTTGATGAGTATTTCGGGTCATAAATTATACGGCCCTAAAGGCGTCGGTGCTCTTTATGTTCGTAGAAGACCAAGAGTTCGTTTGGAGGCGGTGCAGAGCGGTGGTGGACAGGAAAGAGGTATCAGAAGCGGTACCCTTCCTCATCCTCTTGTTGTTGGTTTAGGCGAGGCCTGTAAGATCGCTGTAGAAGAGATGGAGGTAAGCTATAGATAATGATATATCCTAGTGATGAACCGTGCTTTGTATGCGGCACGTTTATTATATATAAAGAAAAAGCTACAATGGAGTAAAAATATGTTTTTACGATGACCATTGTGCAGGGGTTCTGAAGGATAAAATGTGTGTACATGATCATTGTTTATTCATTCTATTCATAGTACGATCACCAAAGAATATCTAACCTGTCTAAACGACTGATTGATGGAATTACATCCAAGATTGAACATGTTTATCGTAACGGTGACCCTGTGCACAGTTATCCTGGTTGTATCAACCTATCATTTGCATATGTCGAAGGTGAATCACTCATCATGGCTTTGAAGGATATTGCATTGTCCTCTGGATCTGCTTGTACTTCTGCATCACTTGAACCTTCCTATGTCTTGAGAGCTTTGGGTGCAGATGATGAAATGGCACACAGTTCTATTCGTTTTGGTATTGGACGATTCACAACTGATGAAGAAATTGAATTTGTAATTAAAAAGGTCAACCAACATGTTGATAGATTAAGAGAAATGTCACCTTTATGGGAAATGGTTCAAGAAGGTATTGACTTGAAGTCCATTCAATGGTCACAGCATTAAGCTTCTCCCTTATTTATGAAATAATAAAACTTGTAATATCACCTGCTAAATAAACCACTATTAAAGAAGATATGGAAATACGTACGGGCGCATTACAGCTTTATTAATAGTTGTATAGAAAAAGAAAAGTGTATGGTACAAAATAAACATGAATAAATAGATAGGAAGCAAAGTTTAGACGTAGCCTTTGTAGGTCCTTGCTGTACTATTTAAATTATTCGTAGGTGGAGTGTCATGCTTCCCTTGTACTGACCTTTGGTGTGGGCGATATGGCCCCACTGGATTGTTAGAGACCATTTGTGAAAACCTGTTGAGAAGTGAACTAGATCTATTGACTCTATTATCCTTCTCATTCAATTGACCATACTCCCAATCCCTGTGTCCTTCATTTTCTATTTGGGCAGAGCGAACAGATGCCGTGCGTTTTACTTTGGCTGCTAAATTATTAGCAAAGCTAAACTTTTGCGATAAGCTTCGCGACATCATATCACCCGTTGATGCTCGTTTTCTTTCAAAATCATCAAGGCTGTGACGCGTAATAGTAAGGCTTCTTCTAAAAAGTTCGTCTAATGATTCCTTGGATCCTTTACGTAACGAGTCTATACTAGCCCTTGCCAAATCTGTCGTGTCTTTTAATTTTTTCAGTCGAATTGATCCAGTGGATGACATAGAAGATGTATCGCTCCAGTCACCGTTGAATAGTCCACTGCCTCTCTTATCGTTGGCTACTCCTGGTATCACTTTCCCCGATGCAGCTACTTGCGATCGTGCTTCTCGAATAGCGTTTGCTGCATTCAACACAATTTGTAAATCATCAATTGGATAATTCTACAAGAAAGATAAGATTTTTCTTTTCTTTTAGGTGAGATATGAATTACCTGTAAAATGCGCATATTTTCAGAAAAGTCGCCATTCATAAGCTCCTGACGTATACAGCTATTACATAAAGTTAATTTATATTTTGGAGGGGGTAGTATATTATCACTTACACAAGCATGGCAACAGAAAAGTCTAGTAAAAATTCAAATCGACTGTTCTGTTCTTTATCTTCTTCCTGCATCGCTCTATCTGCTAATACAGAATCCCAGAGCCGTATTACGTCAGGCAGATCCCATTCTTGGGAACACAGGACAGTGATCCATCTGAATGCATAGTATTGCTCCTTGACATCCTTTTTCCGTAAATCACGAAATAGAGCCCTATCATACCATGCCAATCGTTGGTTCATCCTCCAAAGGGTTGCATTGATACCTGTACAAGCGTCTGAATCGAGAGATCGCACAAAGTGATCTCTGACATCCGACATGAGAGTGGTGAATACGAAAAAGGCATCTGCTTCTGCATATGCTTGTGACTCGGAATCATCATCTGCCGCCTTTGCAGCAAATACATAGTAAATAGGCGCAAGTAATTCGTTCATGCCTTGCACATAGCCCACACCTGGATTCAATTTGGCATAAATAAACAAAATACGCTCAATCACTTCCCAATGATAGTCCTGAATGTATGCATCGCCCAGCTTTGATTGCTGCTCGTGTTCTCTATTACCGCTTTCATCATGTAAATGGGCTATGCGCTTAAATAACGACCTGCGTGTTGGAATATAAGGACATATGGGTTCTAAATGCTGAATTGATGCTGTTGAGGATGAGTGCTTCTTGCTGAATTTGGGTAATAGGCTGCTTGAGTGGTTTGATTTTATGAATGCACTGGATAACTTGCGTACAATATTACGAGGCGCCGAAATGATTTCATTTCCAGTTTCGAGCATGCCGGATGACAATGAACGTGCAGAGCTTTTCGAGTTAGATCTTGCTCTTGTTCCTGAGTTTAGTGTTGACGTAGTCCCTGCTGTTGCTGCAGGATTAGGACTCGAGATGGTAGAGAGTTTAAGTGACTTTTTGGATGCAGTTGAGGATGACCTTGGTCTCCCTCTTAGACCAAATGAAAATCGTCGTGTTTTGCCGTCCTTTTCATTGTGTGGTTCTTCGAGTATGACTCCGTTACCTAAAAGTGGATCTCCATCATCAATAGTATGCTGTTGTTGTTGTTGAGCAGGGGGAGGAGGAGGGGATAATGGGTTCAATGGGTTTAAAGGTACATGTAGCTGAAAGAATGCAAAATCTGGTAAAGTACGTCTGATGTCCTTATCAATTTGTTCTAAAGTTGTATTATCTTCAAAATAGCTCGCCCATTTGGAACCCAGTTGATCGTTCAAAGGCTAAAATAATAAAATTAAATCTTGATGTCAAAGATAAAGTATGGATATTTACATGATCGACCGAGGGCGGTTCTTCTGCTGGATCCTCGAGTAAATCCTTTACCCAATTCTAATAGTGATTATGATTATATATGTACATCAGTTTCGAGTCATCGATTGATTTGTTATATAATAGATTGTGTTTTTTACATAATAGCTCAATCTTTGGCTCTTCAGTATGCTTGCCCAAGTTCTTTTATCTGGTGGTAAATAGCCTAAAAGTACTTTCCATGCCGTTGACCGTAAACCTGGTTCGTCTGGTATGCCTAATATATATATATAAGTGCTACTGTTATATATACATGTATATGTATTACCATTGAAGCAAGCTTCTCTAAAGGTCTTCATATCTATTACAGGTATCCAGTCATGGTTATTACTATTGTTGTCATGATCATCTTGTACAGTCAATGTTGAACGAAAGTACTTTAATCTACTCATATAAGTCAGACTGCTATTATATTTGCTTGTAAAAATAAAAATACCTCTCTTTATAACTTATCTCCATACAAGGCTTTTAAATTGAACTAAAAAGTTTAAAAAAAAAGGGTAAATGTTAGATTTTTAAAAAAGTGTAGGCTATGTGGGCGGGGTTTAGTTCGACAATTGTCAAATGAGACTCAAGCACCTTTGTACACATTTACATAACCTTTGGAGCAGAAAACATACAGGTATGACCATTTCTTTAATTGACATCTTGATAAAAAGTCAATCAGAAGCCTTATCTTCTCCACATAGTATTTCTGTCAAAGGGACGACTTTTTCCCCCTATTGATAAATAGACCTCCACTATACATTGATTTCCTTTTTTTTTTTTTACACACATTGAACATTATAGTTTGTGTCTTTTTATGTAACAAACACGGCTAAATCCAACCTAAAAGAAAGTGGTCGGGATTTCAAAAGTAAAAGTAGGATTGCATTCATCGGCGGACAAGTGATTTATGCTTTTTTTCTAAAAGCTGAAATTGAAGTTTTCAATGCAACTTGTGCTTTCCTTTATTTCTAATTCGCTTTTTATCTGTTGTCTTTAATGCCACTTGGGAAAGATACTATATTTATTATATCGCTTTTACTTGTGTCACATTGTATATTGTACTCTTGGAAAAGCACACATGGAATAGACTCAGACTTGTTAAAACGCGATGAGTCCAAGGTATACTTTGGGATCATGTATGAAAGAAAGTTCTTTAAAACATGTTCAAGTGCGACAATGTTCGTCTACAGGTTGATCAATGTGCCTTTGTACTTGAACATTGTGCTGATGCAACGCCAGGTTTAATTAATTATATACAATGGTATTATTGTTCATCAACAAAACCAATCGTATTCATTCTAATGGTAATAATAATAATAATAATAACAAGTAAAACTGACCTACTTGACTAGTGCTTTTGGTTACTATTCTTATTTGGTTTTGTAGGAATAGCTGCCTCCGACTTTTTCTGTAAGTGTATCTATTATATATTCGCTGATATGAAAAATATAACCATCAATAAAAGGTCCAAACCTTCAAACAATCGCATCCGTTTTACATTTATCGGAGAGCTTAGTAAAGTAGATCACCATTCTTTTTATACACGAAAAACTAAAGCATACTATAGACAGGTGTCACTTTCCTAGCCTTTGGTAATGGCAGCCCAGATTTATTTTCGACGTTCAGTGCCATGCAGTCTGATTTAGGATCACTTGCTCTAGGAGAACTCATTGGAGCAGCATCATTTATTGTTAGTGTAGTAGCAGGGTAAGATATATATATATATATATACAGCTGTGTCCCTGTTTCATCCAACTCAAAGACAAAGTGGATAGATCAATGTGTGCTATCAAGCCATTTAGAGCTAAAAAATTCAGCTTTATTCGAGATGTATCCTTTTTTGCTTGTGCGATTGTGCTTGTTATGATCATTGTTTCAGACGGACTGATACATATGTATGAAGCGATTATCTTGATCCTCTTTTACATCGTCTATGTCTTGGTAGTGGTTGGTGGAAACTATTATATGAAGCGTAGATCAAATTATTTAAACCTAGTTGAGAGAGCTCGCTTGGAATACGAAGAGAACAATAGAGATGTCGATGATTTGATCAGAGGGAACTTTTTACATGATGCATCTGATACTTATAATGCGAATGAGATGGAGCTATATGATGAAGGATTTGAAACAGAGGGGTATCAGGATCCAGTACATTCTAGGAATGGTATACATCCCAAGTTACGTATTAGAACATCGTTGTTCTCAGCTATAGAGGTAACATGAAAAGGAAAGAGAGAAGGGGAGATAGTAACAGTCTATAGTTTCAAGACGTTGTTCAATCTTTAAAGAATACTACCATTAATTTCCACTATCAGCCTCATCAACCATCATCGATACCAACGCAATTTGAAAGATATGCAGATGAGATATCACTCCATAGAGCAGAAAGTAGAGCCGACCATCAAGATACCTCAACGACTGTCAATAGATTCACACGACTGCTACAAAAGTGTTTCAATACGACATCAGTGTACCAGATTAAGCGTGATATCTCCATCTGTCTCTTTCCTAGCCTGATTGACTTTTATCAAAAGCCCATATTTAGTAAAATTACGTCTGCTCTGTCCGTGCCAGCCACCTTTTTGCTAGCGACAACCTTGCCTGTGGTAAAAGAAAGTGCCATCACCCCTAGGGGCATTGAGCTAAATGATAACACAGTGAATATGTTACGAGATTATCGTGAAGACGAGATTGAAAGAACTGATTCCATAAGAGGATCTTGGAATAAATGGCTTACGGCTATCCAGCTGATGGGTGCTCCAGCACTTATATCCTTTGTACTTCTGAGTCAATCCTTAGTATCTGCTGTCATCATTCTTCCTATCTTGCTCGGAACAGGTCTAATCCTCTCCATTACCTTTTGGCTAACTACATCTCATGCACGACAGCCTAGACTCTATTGGATGATGTGCTTTCTTGGGTTTGGAGTTGCCATAGTTTGGATATTCTTGATTGCAAATGAAGTTGTTAGTGTTTTGCAAGCCATTGGCATGGCTCTTGGCGCTAGTGAAGCTATACTTGGATTGACCATATTTGCATTGGTAAGTGCTACATGAATAAACATATATATTAAAGGGAGGGGGACCAGCATCAACTCTGCTTTGTTAGGGAAATAGCTTGGGTGATTTTGTGGCCAATGTGACAATGGCTAAACTAGGATACCCCTTGATGGCTATCAGTGCTTGCTTTGGTGGCCCCATGTTAAGTAAGATAATTACGTTTGTTGATTTTCAGTGATTGACCCTTTTTGTATAGACATCATGTTGGGTGTAGGTATAGGAGCTACTTATGTAACATCTCAAAGAAACGAACCTTATGCAATTAACGTGTCGCCAACGATCATTGTTTCTGCGATTGGCCTGCTTGTTGTATTAATATCCTCACTTGTACTTGTGCCACTGAATAATTATCGTATGTCAAAGATGTTTGGATATAGCTGGATTGTCATCTACATTGTCTGTACCGTTATTAACTTGTATATTGAAATCAAATCATAAGAATAAAAAAATATAAATGTATAAGTGATGTTTATTTTAATCTGCCTTTTTATCACTTGGCGAGGGACTACTACTGGATTTGTCTTCTAATTCTTCCTTTGTTGGTGGATCTGTAACCACTGTAAGCATGTAAGCAGAAGCAGCCTGGGCAATACCATATCCGATAATTCCAAAGATGGGTGTCTTTACCATAATATAAGCAATAGCTGAAAACCCAAACAAGATGTCCTTTCTACCACTAAACCAACGGCGCTTTTCCTTATGTGACATGCGCATCCTGACAAAGTAAGGTTCGAGTAATTCACGTGTCAAGGATCGCATACCGATCAATGCTCTGATCAATTTCATGGTAGCCCAACGAGGAAGAAAAAAGAAAAAGATACCAACGGCTACAGATTGAGTTTTGCCTAGAGCCTTGTATGATGTGTAAGCACCTTGAAGGATTAATTAGAGAATAATGATAGAAGGGGGTTATATATGTTACCTGCAAGTGGGAATACAAATTGACCAACTATGGGTACAAATGATAAAAGAAAGAGCAGTAAACCAAGTCGTACTTTCTTCCATGTTCGCTTGATGTATTCCTTCATCTCAATCCAGTAGTTTATTTTCAATTTTTGGTTTCCCAATACTGCAGCATAAGGAGGCCGATTAGGATGAAGCTCATCAAGGAATCGTAATGATTCCATGAATAATTCATCTAATGGTTTAGGATAAACATATCGCATAAATAAGATGGCTAACAAAGGGACAGCTGCCATGATTTCTCGGATAAATCGATTGACTGAGCTTAAGATGTCCTCAATTCGTCCAGCTTTATCGCTCATGAATATTAACAGAATAAACCTGAGGATATGAATGGGTGTGGATATCAATACGTTGATGAGGCCAAGTAGGATGAATGAAATAATGGATAAATAAATAAACACTTTGATAAAACGTTGCTTGCGTAGGTTTGGATTTTGAATGACAAGCCGAATACCTTCTACTGCGTAATTAGCTCCCTTCTCGAGCCCAGTTAATGTCCATGGTGCCATGTCTTTTAGGAAAAGAAAAAAAAAAGTGGAGTGAAAAGAGTTAAAGCAAAAATAACAGTAGCCTTTTTTCAATGACGTGACTTTTTGACTCACTTGGTTTTATCCTCTCTTTACAGCTCACCCCAATTCAGGCACAATTATTATTATATCTTTACAATTAATAAATTTGGGAAGTTAAAGCTGATAAGGTATAGTTGTTTATATAAACGTTCATCTAATGTCTTTTACATGGCTATAATTTAGATAAGATGTATATACATATATATATATGCATGCAGAGCCTTAGCAGCCATACTTCCCTGCTTTATGCTGCTATGGCTGTCATTTCCCTCCCTCTATTAATACCCCCCTTTCTGTATGCGTAAACCTAAATGGTTAAAATCAACCTATCACTTTTCTCTCTCTCTCTGTCTGTATGTCTTTATATATAAATCAATGTCTTTTCTTTTATTCAACAGCAACTTTATGCTTGCTTCTTCTTTTCCCACTCTTCAGGAGTAAAAGATTTCTATAAGAAAAAAAAAAAAAAATCAGAATCTGGCCAATGATTCCAAAAGTTTTATTACCTGAGTAAAAGCGTGTACTTTACTGATTTCTTCTTTTAATGCTTCATTAACAAGTTTATGTCTAGCCAAAAGGCGCTTTCCTTCAAACAAAGGCGACACAATCACCACTTCGAACATTTGTCCACAACCTGCTGACAAATCTTCAACTTCCTATCTTGTTTTTAGTTCAAGCAGCAATAAATGAGAATAGCAATTTACAGCATGCTGTGCTTGAAGGCGTTCAATAATAACTGCCTTGAGTGATTCAGAAGTAATACCAGAGTTGGTTGACATTTTAACAAGACAAAAGGGAAGTAAAACTACGGTCGGGATTAGTTTTTTAGACAGACAAAAATTTGAATTCAGATATGTTGTGTTCTCAAGGTTCGTGTTGAGGTACATCAAAAAAAAAAAAAAAGATACAAGAAAAACTATCTACTTTTATTATTTCTCTAAAAAACGGATTTTTGAATAACAAGGTGTGTCTTGGGAGGCTTGCCATAGATGGGTTCATGTGTTTCTATAGAAATAGTTAGCTAAACATCGCAAATAGTGTGACGATCACTTACTGATTATTTCACTGTAGATCTTGCTGACAGTTTCATCCCATTCTTCACGGAAGAAGGAGGCACCAGTAGGCTTCAATCCATAAGATTGTGCTAATGCCTTGACATCAAAGGCCTCTCGTTGATTTACTTGAAGATCGATCTTGTCCTGACCCTCGTTAGGTTGTTCAAATGCAATCAAGGTGTATCTGTGATATTTGGTTCCCTTTTGAGGGTGAGGTGGAACATAGTCTAGTACAACATCACCACCTGTCACTATTGATTCTGTAGCTGACAATGGAACATTGGCTCTGTTCAAATGATCGATTAGTTTACGTGTATAAAAAGAATAAAGAACTTACAATAACCAGTGACAGTGTTGCTGATAAGCCTTGTTAGCCACATCAGGTGAATCTACATTGTGTGAATACATTTCTTTTTAAAGATTTTTTTTTGGTTACCTGGATCGACCAACATGATGGTATAGAATCGTGTTTCAGTATGGAAGTTGGTGATTTCAATTTCTGGTCGTTCGATACTCTATCATCACACATTATTTAGTTTCTACAAAAGATAAAAAGACTAGGTTCCTTACTTGTTCAGGTTTAATAAAGACACCAGGCTCCACAGTTCCTTCAGACAGGTTGATGTTGACTTGAACCGATGGGTTTAAATCCAGAGGTAAAATATCAGGAATGACATTCATTTGAGTTAAACGTTCCATTAGTTTTCGCTTGGGTTCCTTTTCAAACTGCTTTTGACGCATGTAACGATATACTGGTTTTGACATGTCAACTGTTTCAAGAGGTATTAGCTCTTTTTTTCTTTTGAATTAATTAAGCTTACTCTTTCCAAGCTTAAAGTTCTTTTGAACTTCAGGTTCATTTAATTCTGCCTTTACTTGTAAATCAAACTTTAAGGCCTGAAGTGCTGCCAATTGAGTAGGTGAACCGTCTATACGTGTTTATGTGTGTGTGTATGTTTAATCAGTAAGCAATACTTTTTTCCATTTCTTTTTTCTTTTTTTTTACTTTTTGACAAACGAGTGATTTCTTTTTCAACTCGATTCAGCATGTTCAATCGTTCCTTTTTGTCTGTTTCGATCAGTTTGAGTGCTTCTTTATACGCTGTAGAGGAGGCCTGTCGAACCGCTGTTGAGATCTACGTTTGGGGGTTAATTTTGAATATTTTATGTTGTTACTTCATATATTACGTTGGTTCTTTTGGAAGCACAACGGGACAGCTTGAGAGCCTGCTTGGATACTGTTGAAAACATATGGCTTGTCCTCGTTCTATAAAAAAAAGAGAAAGACAAGTTGAAAGAGGGGCCTAAGCCTGGCTTGTCACTTTGTGACTTGGATTTTTCGCCATTTTAACTCAGCTTAGAAAAAAAAGTGGCAAAAATTTTGCCCAATAAGAAAGTGTTCTTCTCTTCCCCTCCTTTTCCTCCCCTTTTATGTTTAAACTAACAGATCAACCTGTGGGATGACTCTTTTTTTTTATGAAACGTGTGTGAAACTGAGATGATACATTAGCGCCATTTTTTCTTTATTTAACTCGAAATGATCCTAATTGGAAGCAGAAATAGCAGATATACTTTTATGTCAAACAAAAGAGATGCCCTTCCCGCTCTCTTTTTATCAAACAATAGATTAAAGGCCAATGGAGAGATAAAGAACCCAATTATATATATATATATATAAAAAGACCAAAAACATGCACACATTTATTGAAAAGGAAAAAAAGAAAATTTGTATTACAAGAAAAAGTGAGTATATTGTCTGCTCTCGACATGAACTTCCATTTCAGTCAATTTATATTCATTGAGCTCTTGTTTGATCTTCATAGCGATCACTGGTGTGAGTTTTTGGCAAGTGGCGTTTGCATCACATCGACGATCATAATCACTTGCCGAGAAAGTTTCGTGGACCTGAATAGTAGAGCAGAATTGAATTCTTCGATTTGTACAGACAAGAGAACTTGAAGAAGAAGAAGCAGTTGGCTTCAGTTTAGGTGAAGAGTGTAAGCCGATACCATAATGTAGTCCAACAGGATTGGGCTTTTTGAAAACTTCATCTGGATGTCGATTAGACGAGGATGAAGAAGAGGGTGTAGGTGAAGGTAGTGCTTCGGGATGATAAGGGAATCGTTGATTGCTGTTGTTTGTGATGACAGGAGGAGGTAACCGGGAAAATGAAGAACGTGATGATACTGCTGAATTTGGGGAATCAGGAGTTATATTATGATGATTATTATTATGAGTATTATTGTAATTACGGGCTAAAAAAAATTGAGTTATGTCAATTCGATACAACAATCAATAATGTTTACCTTTCATTCCGCCTTTTCGTTTATGATTCACATCAACTCTTAATCCTGGTTTCTTTTTTGTGCCTTCATTGTTGTTTGATTCTTCCATAATGGGTTCTTGTATCGAGCTCTTTTGAAACAGATTTGTAAGAGAGGCAATGGATCTTCTTCTAAAAGAAAGTTTACTTGCTGTGCTTTCGGTTGTCATGACAGAAGAAGCAGATGAAGCCACCGATGCATTGGACCCGTTCCTTTCTCTTAAAAAGGACAAGTCTTTGTTGTTAGACTTGATGTTGCTCATACTAAACACTTTTCGAAGCCTTTTTGAAAATGATACTTTTGAACTGGTTGATACTTCTGATACGCCTGATTGGATGGAAGATGTAATCGAAGGCCGTCTTGGTGCTAAAGGTTCCTGTGATGGCAGGATAGTATTGTTGAGGTTACTCTTTCGTCTCTCAGATGAACTGGGCTTGGGTCTTATAGGAGTCGATGTTGACTTTTGTAATGGGATTGAACAGTTGTTGCTAGGTTTTCTTGATCGTCCGTATTGTATCCATGGAGACTAATAAAAAGACACGTTGTTTAATAATAAATATGCAATAGGGAAATAAATATAAAAATAAAATCATAACCATAAAGGGTTATGTTGTGTAACAATACCTGTTGTAAAGTGTTATTATTTGTTAGGTAATTTGATAAAGCGATATCTTCATCATCCGTTGCTGAATGAAGTGAAATTGGATTAGCGTGTTGTAGAGTGGTTGTAGCCATTTTTAAGGATAGAGTTTACAAGGATAGATACAGACGAAAATAGACGAAGATAAAAATAAAAAGTGTGTGTGTGTGGAGAATAAGGAGAGGAGGAACAAAATAGAAAGATTAAAAAAAAAGAGAATTTATATAAAAAAATTTGTATTTACAGACAAATAAATGATGAGATCGAATAAAGTAAAATAATCAAAAGAATAAATAAATACTTTAATTAGATAAGCATAAAATAAACAGAAAGAAATAAAGATGAAGAAAGAAAGTAGTAAATAAGAAAGAAAGAAAGGAGAAGGAGAGAGAAGAGAGGAGGGGGGAGAACGATGAGAAAAGGAAATGTGTTCTTTATTGTTGTACATAAACTCCGTCCTAAATTGTATTCAAGCATGATTTCCCTTTCCAATAAAATAAGTAATCACCGACAATGGCAATAGTTCCTGTTTGAGAAATAATGAAATTGGGGTTTCTTTAATGCTATAATCAAAGTCTTGATGCAAGAGTAATCCTTTAACCGATTGAACTAGTGTGGAGGAAGGACCAATGTGTGGCTGAGAGTCAGTAATATAAAGATAAACAAACAGAAAAAAAATAAGATATATTATGTAATGTAACACGAATAAGTTGAAATAAATGCATTAAAGAACTAAAAACACCACTATTTGAAGCATAAAATTGTAAAATGAATAGTTGTAAGATAATAAAACATTCTTTTTTGCTTGTTCGAACTGTCATGACAACCCGAAAGCTGGTTAATTATCTTTAATGCATACAATGTCCATTATTCTACACTTTATTCACTGATAAAAAAAAGATAATTTCAGACAATAAACAATAATAAAATAGACAACAAATAATGATAAAAGAGGGCCCACAAGAAGCAAAAGAATGAGATATAAAAGTAATGATTAATAAATCAGTTATTAAATTGATATTAAATACTTACATTATAAAGAAGAAGATTTATAAGAGAAAAAGAGAGGTAAGAAAAGTGAGTAAACATGTAACGAGGTTATTAATAGCTTACCAAAAGTGAATTAAAAAAGGCTGGCGATAACCAGCTCGGAGAGAGAAGGGGAAAAAAGAAGCAAGCCAGAGAAAAGAGAGGAGCAAGAAAGAGAAGAGCCAAAGGGGCGGAAGGGGTTGAATGAGTGTGTGGGACCAAAGTTTGGTAAGAGCCAAACTTCCCTCAGCTAGCACCGGTACTGTTTTCGACTTTATTATCTACAATATTACATATCAGCTTCTTACAAGAGTAAATAATATAACCTACCTTAGGGCTAGCTGGGGAATAGCTGGTCTTACTTTTTGGTCCAAAGAAGAAAAGAAAAGAAAAAGAAGTCAAGATCAGACTATTTAAACAAAGTCTCTAACAACCCTTTCAGTTACGTGTTATTTACAAGTGTTGACCACATTACATGAGTTTCAAAAGTATCAAGCTCATTTTATGTATTATTAAACGTTGTTTTTTAAATAATAAAGAAGACATAGAAATCAGCTAAAGTGTAATTGTATTGGTTTTAAATTGTGTGCAAATAACTTCTGAAAATGGTGTATCCTATTTTATTCTCTTAAATAAACTACCAATGTTGTCAAAGGCTTTCTTAGTGTATTAGAAGGTGCATCACATTAGGCGGAGATGTTTTGAAAAATGCATTGTTTTTACCGGCAACCGCAAATGAAGACGGCCAGGCAAGCACACAATCTATGATCTGACAGGGTTCTGGAGACGACGTATTTGAAAGTATGATAGAAACGTTCATGGTAAACGCGTCAGTATGGAAGGATTGGGTATAATATTTCTGCTGCCAGGATTGATGCAATCCAAACAAGGAATAGCATAATCAAATTGCTGTTGTATCGACGGATCGACTGCAAACGGACAGGGAATACGTACTCATGGATATCTTAAAGATGATCACGTAGTTTTCTTGATGTGCTGAATGGTTTGGTACAAGAAATGCCCTCGAAGCAGCGATTAATAAGGGCGTACACTACGCGCACAAAGAAATACACAAGAGGGTTGATGTTACAAGAACTACCTGTGGTGTCGTCAACACATCTTTTCAGTATGTAACGTCATGTTTAACTTGTTCAGGAACACATATTTCCATGTTTGTTGATGTAGAATACAGCTTTTATAAAGCTTCAAAAAGGAAGAGATAAAATGTAGTTATTGCTGCATTTAATTTTATGTTGTCAGATGCTATCAACAAAAAACCAAGGTCATTCAAGAGTAATTTTATATCAAAGGATATCTCACTGGACAGCCGTAGGTTAGGTAAACACTTTAGGTAGTATGCAGCTGTAAAATGATATCACATATAATGCCTAGAGGAAGCGCTCGTAACATTAGCCTTCTCGTGGATTTCCTCGTACGCATAGTATCCACAGTTTATACTTAGTAAAATAACCAAATAAGGTACTCTATTTAGTGATATAGCTCATTATGAACATAACATAGTAGTATGGTTGCTGTCATCAAAAGTATATTTAGCTTTTGCTCTCCTGTTCTTTTACTATATTGCGACAAGACTTTACATCGCGTATAGTTCTTAATGCAGTGAATTCTATTTATTACAATGTATCACCACTACTAGTATTGTCAGATCCAAACAGACCACCAACCCATGGTAAGCCATAATAGAGAACGAAAAAGACACATATTGTCATAGTCACATAAAAGCATAACTGCCTTTGATGTCTCTTTGATACCATTCGATTCATCCTACCAAACGAATTTGAAAGTGTTGCTCCTAATCCACTAAAATGATGATTCTATCAAAATACTCAGTAAGGTGTTGTTGTTATTATTGTATATTTACGGATTCATCAAGCAGTCTTTCTTGATCAGTCACATCTTGGTGAATATCAATAGTTATCTATTGAACAGTAAATGTTTTCTAAAGTTTATTATATCTTCTTTTTCTTTTCTTCTATTTGCGTATTGCTTACATTTTTAATAGCTGATATTTTGGAACCAAGCTCATTCAGTCGAACGTCATTTTGCTGTTCAAATATATATCCATTATTCTTTGAAGAAGAACTGTTGTACAAAGTGTCAATAGTGATTCTTTACATATTCATTCAAAACACACACAACTTGCCTCATTTTGATTATAGATGTAGAGAAAGAACTTGCTTGCTTGTTGTTTTATCGACTTTCTTCATTCAAGCTCAGTCAGCCGCACATCAGTCCTATTTTGGGCTTTTTACTGCTTCATCCCGCTCAAAGAAAAAGAAAAAAAAGGGCTATTGTGAGTGTGTATACTTTAGTTCCTTTGCATGTTCAAATTGGGCTCAAGTAGAATAAAAAGCGATCTTTTTAAAGTAGATCTACTTGCAAAAGCTTTTATGCATACAACAGAATCCTCAGAAACGTTTATTCATCGAATCAAAGTACTCAATCTTCCTAAACATGAATTAGCATCGATCAAACAGTTTTTTAAGCTTCACAATCTACATAAATTCAAAAAGGCACCCATGTGGGAATATGCCTACTTGAATTTTGAGGTACGTTTCTTTATTTGGTTTTCTTTTGTTATACTTATAAAAGATAGACAGCAGAAGAAGCAAAAGTAGCTTTAGAGAAGCTAAATGGCAAAGAGTTCAAAAAGAGACTGCTATCCACAGAATATGCCAAGGTATCTGAGAAGCAGTTTAGAGATCGATTTAAAGTCAACAAAACTATTGAACAAGAAGATACGAGAACACCCGCTCAAAGATTGGCTGATCAAGTAACACCACTGCACAAGTAATTTTATATCTATTGCTGGATGGATAAACGAACTAGACAGCTTTTATGTAGATTGTCATATGAAGAACAAGTTGCCAAGAAACGCAAAGCTGGCGTGCGTCATTTGCGCGACTTACGGAAAAAGCTGAATGCGTTGCCTGATTTGAGTGAAGAAGCAAGAGCACAAATAAGCTGGACAACAAGCGACAAGTAAAATAAAAAAAAAGATTGCGAAAAAGTAGGAATAGTAAAATAATGAATGTATGTAGTCCAGACGATGCATGCCAAATACTTGATCCAATACAGTCCCCTATCACTCATGGGTATCGAACAAAATGTGAGTTCACTATTGGTAAAAACATCCAAGGTGAACGCACGGTAGGGTTCCTGTTAGGTCAGTATCGACATGGGGTGACAGCTGTATTAGAACCATACGATTGTTTGCATGTATCTGATAAGGCAAAGGAGATTGTTAGAGCAATGGAGGTAATCATTCGTTGTTCTTCTTTGTGTTTCTGATAAAATGGTTAGCGATATGTCAGAAATTCTGAATATGATGTCTATGATAAAGTATCAAAGACTGGTGTTTGGAGATCCATCATGACTAAAACACAAGAAACAGGAGATAGTAAGGAGAAAGAGATTATAAGAATTTGTTGCTTACTTTCTTGTAGTCATGATATTGATACAAATGAAGACTGATGAATTAAGTGATGATCAACTAGAGCAAGAAAAGGCAAAAATAAGAGCTTATTGGTCACGGTTGAAGCCAGAAATCAATACGACTACCCTGATGCTACAAACATGGAATGGCGTATCGAATGGTATTACAGACAAAGGTCAAACAGAAATACTCTTGGGTGATGGTTACGTCCATGAGCATCTTTTAGGCTGCAGGTAAGTTGTTACTTTATAATGTTGGATGATACTAACCCCTACTGTAGATTTCGAATCTCAAGCAGTGCATTTTTCCAAGTGAATACACCAGCTACTGAATTATTGTATTCAAAATGCGCAGAGTGGTGTAATATAAGCCAAGATAAAAAGACAACTTTGCTCGACCTTTGTTGTGGAACAGGCACCATTGGTATCACCATGGCCAAGACCGTAGATAGGGTGATTGGTATTGAAATGATCCCTGAAGCTATTGTTGATGCAAAGGCCAATGCTCACATGAACAGTAAATTTTCTTCCCTTTATGTATGTATAAATTAACCTATAATACAGATATTACCAATGTGCAATATTATGCAAGCAGAGTAGAAGACAAGATTGATATTGTGACTAATGAAAGAAACGAACAAGTCGTTGCTGTATTGGATCCACCAAGAGCGGGTGTTCATCCTAGTGTAATACGTGCTGTTAGAGAATCTCCACAGATAAAAAAAGTAATCTACATTAGTTGTGATGCCAAACAAGCAATGCAAAATTTCATTGGGTAAGATAAGTTTTACTGCGGTAGTACACCCTTACTGATTGAACCATAGATTGTGCAGACCTACTTCAAATCGAGCCAAAGGAATTCCTTTTAGACCAATAAGGGCTGTGTCTATTGACCTTTTTCCTCACACTGAACATTGTGAATTGATGGTTGAGTTTATTAGAATAGATTAAAATTGTACAAAGCGTAAAAAACAAACAAATAAAACACTGAAAACGTCTAATGTTTTTTTCTTCAAACATTATTATTAACGCCATTGTAAAGCTGATTTAATCATTTAAGTAATGAGCGTATCCAGTATTGTCTATTTCTCTCTTCATATAACAAAACAGACAACTTGCACCTTTGTAGACTACAACCAGTTAATCAAAACAATGATCAATAGACGTTTCACCAACCAAAATAAGGTTATCCTAGCTTGATTGATCATGCCGGTAACAACAACAGCAGAGGCGAGCTTGATGCATTCTAGATTCACTATGTCTTTTTTCGCTATTCAAGAGTCTTTACTTCCAGTTGAGAGCAACGCACCTTTGTATGCTCAGTTATACACTTATGAAAATCTGGACAATGAGATTATAGAAAAACTTTCAGTTATGGTTATCCGTTGTAATCTATTCGCACGTATTTATTGTCATATGTATGGGATATTGAGTGATCATGAAAGCCCCGGTACCAACAGTGAGGATAGATCTAACAACGACGACTTCGCCAAAAGCGGGCCACCTTACGTTATCATCAGTCCTTCTGAGAATGAAGCTTATTGATTGCCTGAGATTGAATAATCGTTTTTGTGAAAAAGATCCAAAAGGAGAATCACTTTGGACACCCCATTTCAGAGTCATGCGAAACTTTTTTTTTTTCGTTGGTACAGGTTTTTGTGTCTCCTTGTCTGTCTCTGAATTGTCTTTTCCCTTTTGACCAAAACCCAGAGATCCCTTTTTCTCTTTTCTCTATTACTTTTTATTATTATTATTATTCAACAATGTACGGAAAAGGGTCCTTTCCGAACGATTCTTCTTCATCTAATAATCGAATTGAACCCAATTTCTTTCATACATCAGCTACTCAACATAATACACCCAATAAGAAAGATAATAGCCAAGACCATGCCGAGACACCTTACTGGCAGTCACCACCACCTTATTCTGAACATGCCAACTATCCTCCTGCTATAAGCGATACCGATAATCATGCACCTAGTGCACCGCCTCTTGAATTAGCTCAAGGTGATGTCATCCCACCTTACCCCCCACAGCCTCAAGTATACCCACCTTTAAACTATGATAATAACAATCCACATAGTCCAACTACAGGTTATCCAACCTATGGTTCATTTCCTCAACCTCCTTATCACAACACACCAGATGTTTTACAACCTGCTTCCATGCCCTCTTGGCCTTGGGTAGCCCCGCCAAGGTGTATGTATGCTTGATTGACTGTACAAAAAATTCTGGGCATAAATTGATATTTTTAAAAAGTAGCTGAATCTAGTCCTCCTCCTGTTGAGGATGAGTCCGTAAAGATAAATACACCATGTTGTGAAAGAATATGCAAAATGTTTTGGTATTTTATTACTGCCATGGTCTTTTTTGTTACCTTGTCGGAAATCCTCGGTGGATCTACTCGAAGTGTACGCTGTGATGATGGTATAAACTGGCCGAAACTCCCAAAGCGCTTTGACTATGAATCCATCTTGCGTATCACAGTCGATGAAGGCAGTCTAACATCTGGTAAAATTATACTCAAGAACCCAACCAAGGACACACCTCCAGGCACCGTCTTGCTCACGGGTTCAGTCTCATCCAGAATCGCCAATGAAGTCTCCATTGTACTCGATCAAAAACCTGGCGAATCGCATCTTAAGATTCGTGTGCCTAGGCAGGGTCTATATCGACCATGCGTCAGCCTTGAAGCTGTTGTTTATGTTGCTGATGAAACAGAACTTATTCAAGTAGAGGTTCAAAATTCAAACATTCATGTAGAAAGTGAGGGGCTAGATACAAGTATTCTTCAACTGAGTACAAGCAATGCACCAATCGATCTTGATTGTGCTTGGAGCGGAAAAGACTTGAAATTACGTACAACGAATGGCCACATTCGTATCAGTCGTCCTTTAAAAGCTGAAAACTCTGTCATGCTGGGTAAGACATCACAATACGATAACAAAGTGTCTAATCCATTGTTATTATAATAGTATCAAGCAATGGAGGAATCCATATGGATCAAAACATTCATGCCGATCAATTGATTGCTATTGCAACCACTAATGGACCTATTAAACTCAATCAGATTCAATCTGATAAAGTGCTTTTGCATACTTCCAATGGTCCTGTTTCTATAAATGAGGCTCAAATTGGGCATTCTTTGAATGTTACTACCACCAACGACGAACTCAAGTTTCGACTTCTTGCTGGTACTAGTAACCCTGTCATTAATGGAATGACAACTAATGGACGCATTATTGCCAATATGGTATATCACCAAGAATACAAGTAACTCTTTACTCATTTTTCTTTAAATAATAGCCCACTGATTTTGAAGGCCAATTCCATCTAATGACAGGTGTATCACAACTAATCACCATTTCGGATCAATACGAAAGGTCTGTTATAAAAAGGATTGGCAAAGGCTTTGTCATTGGCGAACGCTTTAACGGCATAAATGAACGACCCGCTAACCCAGGTTCAGTAAAACTACAGACTACAAATGATAACGTGGCACTTTACTTTGGCAACAAATAAAATAAAATGCAATGGGTTTTTTTTTATTCACTTAACTCATAGTTTCAAGAATACAATGAAGTGGTTAAACTAAACCTTGTCCACAAAAACGTTAGGCAATCATAAGCACGGCTTGTACAATTTCTTATTTTGAAACTGAGTAGAACTTTATCTATATTGTGTTTACTCTTATTTATAATGTTAATGATGCTTCATTAATAACTAAATCACCTTCATTGTCAACTTCTGATGATTGTGATACTCCTGCTTCATATTCTTCGAGTCCCGACACACTTTCAGCGCCATTATTGTTGTCCTCTGTTAAATCAACAGTAAAAAGATCAAGATCAAATATTCGTTTTGTAATTCCTTCTTCATCCTCTTCATCCTCTTTTGGTCTTTGACTGGGCGTTGCCATCAACAAACTGTTTACATTTGTCAATACTCTCGAAAATGAAGCCAAGTGGTCCAAGAACTGCTGAACTTGGGATCTATCATCGGAATTGAAGACATCCAATATCGTGGTTATTTTGTCTCTTATTTCTTGCACTTCTTTCAACATACTCTGAATGTTCTCGTTAATGTTTCTCAATGTATTCAATGCCATCTCATCGATTTATATTATCATAGCCTTTCTTAGGCATTTTGAATTCAGGCTGTGATATAACGCTCATATTGACTAGCCACTTCAAACTAGACGGATTGCAGAGACAGAAGAGGTTGAAGTTAAAAGATATTAAAACTTAAAAATCAATGGGACAAAAGAATAATGTGATTAAATACTATAACTGGCTTATATACGGTTGTTGATGCATAAGGATTTTACTTTTCTACATTTTGCAGGGGCCTTCATTTAATGTCAAAGTACTACCTCTTGCAGTTATACTTCAATGAAGCCTCTAGTACCTTTTTGGATTCCTCTAAAAACTAAAGCTATGCCTTGAGTTCATACCCTTTTTAACCCGGTGTTACTTTGTGTAAATCATAATATCATTAACAAGGAGCAAAAAACGTAAGAAACCTTATAGTTTGTCATAAATCGTAATTTAATCATATAAATAAAAAGCGTTGTTAAATCACACAAACGAATATAAAAGTGAAAACAAAAACAGTATGTTGTTCAAGTCTGGGCCTTTGATTGGCAGCTGTATCGATACACAGACTTGATTCTGAGTGTTATTGTAAGTTACTTGTACGTCAGTATGTGCAGGAATAACTCTCTGTTGACCTTTTGACGATCTGGACAATCACACAGAATGAGAAGATGACATCCTCCTTACTTTTGTTTCGTCTACATGATTGATGTCCATCGAAGATTTGATCATATCCGCAATTCTACTCGCAACATCAAAAGATACGTACATAATCTCGTCCACAACCGAACGTATAGATGACATTAGCACATGAAACTTATTTCATACTACAGAACTACTCTTGTTGTATCTCACATTTTCAATGGTATACATGACAAAGGCATTTGTCCTCGCGTTTCTGGAGGAAATAATGAGGGTTATAGAAAACTTTGTATTTATATTACTGTTGTTAATTTAAAACTACGAATAAAAAAGCGCGGTTCAGAGACCATAGTATCACATCTTTCGTCTCCATTTCGGCAACTGTACGAGGGATGAGCATTGGCAGTTCTACTAATCCCTTTCTATCATCAACAACAAGGAGGGAAAAGAGGGACAGACAAATTGCTATTGTAGCTATTATATGTCTGACAGTATTATATCTCTTTCTTTCAAGCACTTCATCATCCACTAGTGCCAATGCTATTGTAAATAGTCATCAATCACTTTATCAACAAGATCATAATGAAAAGGACAATCGAACAGTAAAAGATGACATCATACCAGTGACGATGCCTGATCCATTTGAGTTGCATAAACCCGATTCAACAGAAAAGTTTATTACTTACTTGCCTCATTCAGGCTTCCATAATCAGCGTATATCATTAGAAAATGCATTTTTGCTTGCCTCCTATTTGAACAGAACCTTACTTTTGCCACCTGTATATCTAGCCAGTCCTGCGTTCCCATGGCTGCGATTTGACAAGATGTATGAACGCATCTTGCTTCAGACCAAGAATGGCATCGAGTATTGCGGACAGCTTCGTGAAGGCGAACCTTTGCCACCAGAATGTCTCAACTATGCCCACTGGACGTCTGTACCATGGACCTTCTTTTACGACTTTGAAGGAATTAGCAAGAAAATACGAGTTATATTCCGCAACGACATGAGTCTAGAGTGGATACGTGACGAGCTATCAAGCGATATTTATTTCATCAAGGACAATTCACCGTTTGACTATCGCATCTATGACCTTCCCGAATCACAAACACCACTACAGCGATTTGTTCATCGTCTTGAATTGGATGCGCTTGAGGCAATTCAAGCCAAGGTTATCCACTTTGGATCTTTGTTTGGGTCCTACCGTGTGCTGGCACAGTCTGAGGAACACAAAGATCTGCTGACATGGGTACGAAGGAACATGGTTTTCCAAAATCCTGTACTGCTTCAGACTGCATCACGAATTGTCAATCAATTGGGAGGCGTTAAGCAATTTGTCGGAATCCATCTCAGAGTTGGAGATGGACTCTTTAAGGTACGAGCAAGCATTCATGTAGACGATATCTACCATCAGCTGGTAAATGAGTATACAGATTTGACGGTAGATGAAGTGGCACAATATGATAACAGGCATGATGATGATAGAAAAGAGGATACAAACTATGAAGTCAAACAGTTAAGAGATACGCCCGTGCTTGAAGCCGTTCAGCAACCCATCCAAGTGACTCATCCTCCTGATACAATTCTTCAAGCCAGGTTAGGAACATCCACCAAACATCATCTCAAGTGTCAATCCAGTGATGGAAGAAATAACCAATTTGCAAAAACAGCCATTTATATTGCCACAGATTGTCCAAATCCACGCGAACATCCTCTGCTCCAAAAGATCTTCAAGACCTTCCCATGTGTCTTTGTGCTTTCTGACTTCAAATCCGATCTAAAAGAACTGACCAAGATCAAGGTTGTTGAAGACAATGTTCATTTAGAATCCTATCTTATTCCCATGATCGATGCTATTATCGCAGCTCAAGGATTTGATTTTTACGGCACAAATTCGAGTACGTTTTCGACTTATATAGAAAGACAATTACACCCTATGTACACAAATGAGCCTATTAAGCTATTTGATGCACCTTCTCTATAAATAATAAACCTTATCTAAACTGGTGATAAAGCTCAAATGAACCTATATCTATTACTTGCAAAATAAGAACAAGTGCAACAGAGTCCACCTTGAATAAAGCAAGCCTTACAAACATGACACTTTATTGTTATATTTTATAAATAACCCCCTTTTTTATTACATCCCTTTTAATCTTTCAAGGAAGAGAAAAAGATATGCTTTTTTTTTGAAACAAAACGCTAAAAGCTATAAAAAAATTATTTTTTTGATAGACCTTGACTATGAAGCCACATGTAGTGTTGTCTATGTAAAAAAGAAACCATAATGCTAAGCTTCAGTTTTGCTATAAAATAAGTAATTACTACTGTTATACTTGATTAAAAAGAAAAATAACACTACCACTCTAATCACTCTAATATATCACTCTAATCAACTCAATGAGCAACAAAAGAACGCCTTTGATGTCATCGTCAACAAAATTGAATCTGATCCGCTTAACAACCAATTCTTTCTGCAAGGCCCCGCTGGCACTGGCAAGACGTTTGTCTACAACACTCTCTGTAACTATTACAAGAGTAGAAACGAAGTTGTTCTTTGTGTCGCCTCTTCTGGCATTGCTACTCTTCTTCTGCCTAACGGCCAGACATCCCATTCATTGTTCAAGGTTCCTTTGCTCATAGATGAATGCTCCACATGCAGCATCCGAAAGGATAGCGATCTTGCTGGGCTCATCCAGAGAGCAAAGATGATCATTTGGGATGAAGTGCCAATGCAGAACAAGTATTGCTTCGAAGCCGTACATCGTACCCTTCAGGATATTTGTGAAGATGTAGAGGATTTGAACCTCTTTGGTGGTAAGCCAGTTGTCCTGGGTGGTGACTTTGCACAGACTCCTCCTGTAGTCCGAAGGGGTAACAGAACTGACACTGTCAGTGCTTCCATTAGACAATCATTTCTTTGTCCAAGGCTTCATCTCTTGAGACTCACCCAGAATATGCGCCTAACAAGTCTTTTGAATGAAAATGACACTGCACTTGCAAGATTTTTGGCAGACATGTCCTACAACAGTAGCCTTCAAGGCAATATCGTCCTTCCTTCATTCATTCACCAGACCACTCAATTAGCTGAATTCATCAGTAGAATATACAATGAAGATGTTCGAAGACCTAATTGGAGTAGTCAAGTGTACTTTGGTGAAGGGGCAATCTTAGCCAGTCGTAATGATACGGTGGATACCATCAATATGGCTGTGCTCGAAAAGATGCCTGGTGAGAAGACTACGCTTTTATCAACTGATTCTGCTGATATTAACGATGCTAATGGCCTTCACGTCATCCCTGCAGAATATCTTCAAAGCCTTAACCCCTCCGACCTGCTTCCTTCACAGCTGGAGCTAAAGGTCGGCGCACCGGTTATGCTTTTACGAAACATTGATCCAGAAAGAGGTCTTTATAACGGAACGAGGCTAATCGTAATGCATATTTGTCAGTATATGCTTAGGGTTCGCCTGGCCAACAAGCCCGATGCTCCAATAGAGCTCATCCCATGATTTACTCTGTCGACCCTAGAAGGCAATATGCCATTTATGCTCACCAGGAAACAATTTCCTGTAAAACTATGTTTCGCTATGACAATCAATAAGCCCCAAGGCCAATCATTAAAGTATGTAAGAGTTGGCTTGCGGCGTCCGCCGTTTATGCATGGTCAGCTATATGACGTTCTTTCAAGAGTTACCTCTCTTTCTGGCATCTCAGTCCTTCTGCCAGAAAGCTCAAATGCAACCAACAATGTTGTCTACCCAGAGTTATTATTTCACTAATATATTAATATATCCATCTATGTAACACATCATATGATCACCAAACAAACTTATGCTCACAATTATGAATGTTTTATGACTATGCCATTCTTTTCAACATATAAACCTTTACAAATAATACTATTAAAAGATATGCTCTCTATTATGAATAAACAATTTTATGAAACCATGTATGCAGCACTATTGCATCAATAAATAAGCATGCAGAGAGGAGTTGTAGTATGTTGTTAGGCGCACAAAAATTCAATTTTAGCCATTCGCTTAAAGGGTCGTATTAACATTTGCCCTTACTCATCACAAAGGGCGAGCCCTTAAGCCTGCGGCAGCACGACGTGCAAAAACGAGCGTAGCGAGTTGGAAGCGGCTAATATTATAGATTGAAATAGGAATATTTAAACCGAAGCTCATAAAAGGCAACCTTAACACCATTCGCAATCTGACTGGTTGAATAAAAGTATATTTGTGAGCAAAGCCTAAAGAAGAGGCAGCACACATCCTTCAAGCTATATTTGTAATAGAGATCATCTTCTGTCATTGTATTCACTGAGTTGTTTGATTCCACGCTAAAGTTGATACCAAATGTTACGACAGCATAGGTGTATTGGACCTGAGAGAAGGACGTGATTTTATTGATTAAATGAATTTTGATAAATGAACAACAATAATCTCTTTCACTTTTTGCTCTTTTTGCTTCAAATGAAAAGAAATTCTACATCATCCAGCTCAGAGAGACCTTCAAAAGGCGCAAAGCTAAATGAATGTAAAGTATTCAATCTTGTTCATTATCAGTCAATATTTAACATTATTCTGGTATAGGTACAGTAGCACCAACTCAAGAAGCGAATTATTCCAGTACAGTAAATCAAGAAGGTACCTCTTTTTCCTTAAGTAAACCAGGGCTTTCGAAAAAAGCACAACAAAAGATTGATAAGCAAAATGCACTTTTAAAATTCAAAACAGAGCAAAAGGCTCTAAAAGAAGTCAACTGCCCCTCAACTGAGTTAACAACACACGCGCGGTCAACGAGTAACTTGTGCCCAAACAAGAAAGCAAAAGTACCTGCTTGCAGCCCTGATGAAAGGGTTGAGAATTTTGTTATCAAGATATCCTTACCTAATGACTGTAACAATCAACAACTTGTTCAGCATATCAAGGATCTAGCAGATTATACCACCAAATTTTTGTTTGTGGGGATTTCTTTTTGCCAATTTCATCTTCATCAAATTTCTCGATGATGGCCAGGCTATTCCAATTATTGAACAAAGTTTATTCACAAATATATTTGCGGTAATGACTGGAAATGGAAATAGAGTACCAAGCTATCTCAAAGAATACTTCACTCTTTTCTGTGAATTGACAACTGTAGACCGCGACTCTTTAAAAAGTATAAACTATTCAAGTATTCTTTCCATCGCTGGTAAGCAATACGAAGTCCTGGTTAGAAATCACATTCACGAGACATACGAACGAAGATCGATAACGTACTTTCAGAATATGATGTCTGACAATAATTCAAGTAATTGTTGTAAAGAGCTCCCAGTGGGTTCCAGAAAAGCCTTGGCATATTTCATTTACAAACAAAACAAGGTTCAGAGCCATCTTTGCCATCGTCTGTCCCATGCAGTAACTACTATAAAGAAATCACTGAAAGCATAGCAAGCATGTAATCTAAATACTAACCAGATCAATGTGATCCCGATACGCTTTACTCAAAACCTCACCTGTTTTTCAAGTGGTTCTACTTTCTGTCGCAAGAAGTGCAAAAAAAAAAGTTTTTATTATGGAAAACGTACTCCAAAAGCCGCTTCCAAAGCGTATGTGTATCGTAAGCTCAGAGAGGTTCCATTCACTGGTGCTTTGAGTAAAAAGAAGTTTAATTCTTTAAGAGAAGAAACATTGCAGTCAATCAATTCCAACAAGACGTTTGCCCCAGGAAAAAAACTAGCCAAGCTTACGCCTCAACAAGTATCAGTAGTTCAAAATTTTATTGATACAGTTAAAACAAGAATATAAGATGGCATGTTCATTCCTGCTAAATATACTGACAAAAGAGGATATTGCTTTTTTTCCATTGCGCCAATATATTCCGTTCAGACAAAATCAATCCAAATTGATGCTCAAGCTTTTTGGAGGCTGGTGAAACAATGTGGCATACCAAATTACCCGAAGGGGAAGAAAACCGAATCTGGCTTGACTGATTTTTACTATCACTTGTTCAATTTTACCAAATTGGGATTTCGTACTAGAGACAGTCTTACGAGTGGGAAGAAGTTTAGGTAAGCTATGTGTAAAATAATAATATAATACAGGAATATCTAACTGTCATTAATAGAAACGTTATAACGGCGGATGGTCATTCAATTTCTTTTCTTTTTACCCGAACTGTCAAGAGATCTTTGGCAACAACTAAAAATCCCTCAGATTTTATTGATGACATCCGAAATGGTTGTGATATTTGGGGAGTAGACCCAAGTGTTTCTACAATCTTAACCGCCGTAGATACATCTGGAAGGCAAAGGACAACAAGTTTGGATGAGTATTATCGTCTGTGTGGCTATAATGATTCAAATTTTATACGAAAGAAGCATCAAGAACAACACACGGCTCAGTTTTTGAAAATTTCTAATTTAAGCTCACTGAAGACATCAAATATCACAGAGTTTGCAAAAGCCTGCCAAGAAAGACTTAGTTTGTATGATGATATTGCAAGTTACTATAATGAAAATGCCTGGTAAGTGCAAAGTATGATTTTTTACTTGTTTATTTAAACAAGCAAAATTCTGTAGGTCATCAAAATTGAAGTTTCAATGCTATATTCGTAAATAAAAAGGGGTGCATGAAATCTGCAAACGGTTAATGCACGGAAGTGTAAAGTATAGCAAGAAGGCGTCTACTGGGGTCAAGACATCGTCTGCTGAAAATGAAAGTAAATATTGTCCTCCTGCTCCTCTTGATCATCCTGACAAGCCCAGAAAAACAATAATTGCTTTTGGCGATGGTATGTTTAACAGCAGCCTGAGAGGAAATAGAGGGGCACCTGTCCGCCTTATAAAAAAGGCTTTGCAAAAATATTGCGGAAGTCAATTAGAAATATGTATGGTAGATGAATATTTGACAAGCCAAATATGCAACAGGTGTAAAAATAGAAATATGGACAATGTTGTAACTGAGAAGTCAAAACGAAGAGTACATACGCTATTGAAGTGTAAACAAAACACTTGCAACATCGTATGGAATCGTGATATCCTGGCTGCACACAATATCTTGGACATATTTCTATTCGCTGCAAGAAACAACAGTCAGTGTCTTGATGTTTTCATGCGTCAAGGTACACCTAATGACCAACCTTCCGTATGACTGATATGACTCTCTCATACGTCCTTACAGTGTAAGTTGTATTAACTATGTCTGAATTTAAAAGTGCGAAAACTGTAACTAAACATTTTTGTTAACGTTGAAACGTAGCATCTTTGACTAGTAATAATTAAAAGTGCTCACTCCGCTTGTTATTTTTTTTTATATAGAATTATTTTATTGAGTTTTTTTAATGCTTGCTTTACCTATTTTTCATGCAACTATAATTGCAAAATAACAAAAAAATTAGCTTCTATCATGCGTTTATCTGCTTCCTTACTTTATTTAGATGAACCATTGTGTATTAATACACGATTATTATAACACGGTTTTTCGCCTTGCTTTGATGAACAGAGAACGTATAGTGAAATATTAATAAAGACACGAGCATTTTTAATACTTTAATTACATATATAATTCTATGAAGTTAACCATTGAACTTTTGTTTTGAGGGAAAATATCGATAGGCACCATGACACACTTTAAATAAAGTTAAATCAATATAAAGAATTTCAAAGCTCTCATTTACTAGCGATTTTTCCCACTTTTGCATATTTTCTATTTAGTTATAGTCAAATGTATCATTCATGATATTGCTTTTGGCAAAACGCCCATTTTATGCAAATTTTATCTGCTAATGCAAAATGTATATGCCGTGCAATAATACTTCATATTAAGTCTATAATGCTGATTCATGGAATCTATCATTTATTGTATTTGTCAACTTATAACATCTTATTTGGCAAATATCACAGCAGATACTACAAGTTCTAGAAGTGATCTTCTCCATTCGTCATACCGAGTTGCCTGAAGTTGTTCTGTATCGAAGTTTTGTTGCCACTGCTTTTGAACATCCTCGATAAAGCACTCATTACTGGAACTTTGACTTGATCTGTAATCAAAATCATTGGCATGGTGCATGCATTGTACTAGGTGTTATATACTTGCTAGTTTAAATATATTATCTCGGAACTGTTTCGTAGACCCTTCTTAACGACAATCTTACAGTCTCTTGAAAGTTTTTGTCTGATAGTTCAAGTTAGCTGGACTTGTTTCTGCGTCATGCTAGCTGATGATACAGTCTCTGTCGAAAGGTGTCCACTCAGTACGCTTTTGGACAGGACTGGTTTTAAAAATTGCCATATGAGATAGTGGTGCCTCAGTAAAGAATGATAAAGAGCACATAAGATGAATGTCTGCTTACTAGTGCATCAAAATTGCTCAACGTGTCTCATATGTTTTACAATTCACTTAATCTAAAAGGATTATAGTACTTCCAAAAATCAGTTGGGCACTCACATTCGAACTGCTAAGAGATGGATCAGACAGCATAATGTGTGCCCTGATAGTATTTTTGAGAGCTGTAAAAACGTAGGTCGTAAAGGCAACTTAACCAAAGAGCATAAAGCAACTACTATCAACTTCATTGATGCTAATCCCTCTGCTGCTGTTGTTGAAGCGACCGAGCATTTATTGAAGCGATTTCATGATCTTAAGGTCACACGCGGCACTGTTTATAGCTTTATAAGTTGTGAATGCAACCTTTCGCTGAAAAAAGCAGATTTTCATTCTATCGAAAAACAGTCCAGCAAAGATTGAGGAACGACATGATTGGGTTTGTAAGTGGGGAAATACAGACATGAACTTCCTGACGAATTAGGTATTTCTTGACGAGCCTGCTTTTGACATAAACGTAAAACGTTCAAGAGCTTGGTCCAAAAAAGACATCTGTGTTACTGTTACCAGACCTACTACGAGAGCAAACACAGCGTCTATATTGGGGGCTATCTCTGCCGCAGGTTTGATCACAATCGGCGTAAAAAACCAAGACCCTGCCAAGAAGCGAAAGGCTGATGGATATATAAGGTCAGAGACTGTAGCAGGCCATTACATTAGTTTCTTAAAAATGACTCTTGATGAAATGGATAGACATCCACATATGAAAGGTCACTATATAGTCATGGATAATGCACACATTCACACGCATGAAAGCATAAAGAAATATATTGAGTATCGAGAACATAAATGCGTATATCTTCCTCCTTACTCTCCCGAGATTAACCCAATAGAACAATTCTGGGCAGTGGCAAAGAGTAAGATTAAGCGCCATAGGTTTTTACAGGAGGACACTTTATCAAAAAGAATTACGAAAGCCTGCAAAGGTGTAGAAAAAAGCCACTTCAACAGGCTCGTTTCGCATTCTTACAAGTACTGGGATAAATGGAATAAAGAGTCCATGTAATGGTCACTAATGATTTATACCAATAGAATCAGGTAAGTACTAAAAAGGTAAGCAACTACAACTTCTTAATTAAAGGTAGCAAAAAAAAAGTTACAAAACTTCCAAAAAATATGACAAACAAGTAGTAAAATATTAAGATTCTTGAGGTTTATAAACACAGGAAGCTGCGCCAAAGAAGAAGGGAAGTCAAGATGGCCAATTTCATACATCATATAAAGTCCATCATGATCGAGTCTTGTAAGATAAAATTTAACAGCAAGCCCTATATTTACAAATTAGTCACTGTCAAAAAATGCATGTATGTAGATATAAGAAAACAGAATTACCATGGACTTGAAATGCTATTGCAGGCTCAAGGAGATGGCAATCACTGTCCTCCTTGCTAAAACAAGCGATTTTTGCCAAGTCAATACATAAAGCTGCCTTATTACAAGTCAGCTCTGCAATCTTCACCTCGCCATGATCAAGAGTTTCTCCAAATTGCAGCTGATCAATAATCGAGATGTCAGTATCTGGTCGCAAGGCAATGCTTGAATTAACGGTTTTATCCAGCCACCTCAATAATACCGACCGTTCTGCATCTGCAACAACACATGATAAAAGAGGATCGAAGTATGTACTCTATAATTCTGTTTCGCTAATGGTTGCAACATCATGGATGGAATTCCTAGGTAATTTTTGAATCCTAAAATAAAGGTGAGAACGATATTAAATGAGAAGGCACACTTACTGAAGATCCTCTGCAGAGCTGAGTACATGGCAGTGGATACCATCCATCGTGATAACCACTTCCTCAGGATTGCTGAAATAGCAAGTTGCTATCAAACGAGCCCTGCATCCGATCTTCTTGCTTTTTTTTTTTTTTTTTTTTTTTTTTTTTTTTTGCAAGGTTCTTTGAACGACCATAGCGTGTCGCTTGCTTCCAGCGCGATGGCATTCATACAGACTTCTCTAAAGATAGTCTGCACGTGGTCTACCTCTAGCTCTATCCAACTTTTGATCCATGATGTCATTTCTGGTTGTCTTCCTAATTATCCACTTGACGCCTACTTAATTATGTGGCTCTCAATAACTTGCTTGTACTGAGCGATACCCGTAGCTTGAAGCTCAGGTGCAGGACTGTTAGCAGCAATGTTAATTTCAGTTGAAAAGTTCATTTTTAAAAAGATAGAAATAGAGAGAATAGTATAGCTATAAAATAAGAAGCAATATTATGTTTATTGTATTAATATTTGTTTTAAAGGAAAAAGATGTCGGTGACTAACAACTTGGATTATTGAGGAGAAATGAAATAGTTCGAAAAAGGAACACATAGTATAAAAGAAAAAACTGTCACAAAAGCAGTGGTTTTCGTTGGGTATTTACGTGGATGCGGAAGCACTGCATGTGTCACCTATACTTTGTCATTGATGCATTTGTACCATTCAATTTCTGCTGAGAAAGATCAGATACGGAAGAATAATGAGAATGGATGACTACTATTAGCAGTAGAGCCAATAATTGCGCATGACATATATAAATATACTGTATTTTTATTAATTATTGACGTTAATTTTATAAAATATTGTCGTAAAATAAAAGAACTATTTACGTAAAAAGACGACAAAAAAAATGTGTTTGAATAAAACGACATCATGTCAAAAGAGAGAAAAAGTATGTTAATATTAGGGCATATATCCTAATGCTAGTTTTACTTACCACCAAGGTGCATTTTGTGGAGAGTAGCGATAACTACCCAGGATTATTTAAACAAAAAAAAAAAAAAAAAGGAAATAGGAGCAATCTGCTTCGTGACCATTCAATAATATGCACTGCCAAATATGACTACATGTTCTTCTGGTTTCGTGGAAAAACCTAATAAAGAATTTAAACTTTTGCAAAGAGACTAAAGAGGGCTATTTCTAATATTAAGTTAATTTCAACTCCAAGACAGCCCACCTGTTAGTATTACTGTCAAATGGGATAGTGAGTCATATTCTTTTTATATTTGTTATTACTCTGATAACATTACAATGGTTTCAATACGACATCTCAATTTGGAAATACAGTATATCCATGGATGTCAAGGCTGATACTACGAAAATATTCTTGACGACGATGAATTTACATTTCGTACAGCATGAATTTTGTTCTCGCCATTGGGTGCATTTATTTTCGATCACAGGCGAATTTACTTTCCGGAAAGAGTGTATAACCAGAATAAAGATATCATGTATATTACGAAGGAAGCTAGAGTCATGCTTAATTTTGACTGTACTATAATACATCACTAGATACGCCATTAAGCATATCTATTACACATGCTTAAAGGATTATTCATTATCTTCAGTAATGTGGCATTTGTATAATCATCAGTTGCTTTTATTTTCTTGCTTGGTAGCTTTGGCAGCATACTCTCTGTTCATGGCGTCCAGTGTATTTATCTTTCCATAAAATTGCATACTCATCGTGTATGAGTATGGCTTTATTGCCATTTTTGTATTCCCACCAGGGCTAACCTGTTAATACGTCATTAGTAGCGCCTTAAATGGGAATGCCAGTTATATATCGATAACGTAGTCTGTGTTAAATAATGAATGCTGTGTAATCGGCTACATGAATCAAAAAGAAGTTATCATATCTTTAATATCAAATGCCATAGACTGATTTCTTTGTGAATGATATCTGTCACATTAGTATAGGCTTTTTCATATTATATTCTTTGTTCTTCTAAATGAATATTTTATTATTTACATATAAGAGAAAGAGATTCAATTGGAAGCAACCAATAGTCTGAATTCTTCAAAGTCTACAAAACCATCTTTGTTGACATCAGCCAACTTGATCATTTCTTTTATCTCCTCTGGACTAAGCTGTGCATCCAGCATTTTCATGACACTTTCCAATTCTGATTGACTGATACGTCCATCGTGATCTTTATCAAAATAGAGAAAACATGACAGCATATCTCTATCATCTTTTTCTATTCGGTTGGATGGTATAAAGTAAGACATGGCGATAACAAATTCATAGAAATCAATCTTGTTATCCTTATTGAGATCAATCGTCTTTCTTATTGATTCAATCGACACTGAGATATCAATCTCCGTCAAAATATGTTGTAACTGTTGAATGTTTATGTATTGTGTGCTCTGCGCATAAATTCGGAACACTAATATAATAGTATTAGCCATCTATCTGTCAGCCAGTTTATCGTTACCTTCATGTAAAGTATCCAGCTCTTGTTCTGATAGTCCAAGTATTTTGTAATAGTCTGTAAACATGTAAATTGATTATAAACAAGGAAGAAAGAAAAAGTGAGAAGAGAGATAGAAAGCTTTTATATGTATAAATTGCTTGATTGACACGTGTAACCAGGTTCATTTGCTGAGCTGCTTTTTATTTATGAGTACAAAAGAACTTTCTAATAGAGAACCTATGGTGTTGATGAGGACATTGAGGCCTACTTATTTTAATATCCTTATTCACAGGTACACCCATCATGACTGAAAATTCATTAAAATTGACTGCTCCATCTTTATCTAAGTCGACCTCATCTATCAGTAATTTAGCTTCTTCTAAGCTAATCTTATCTCCCAACTTTTCCATCATTGCTTGTAATTCAACTTGATTGATAGTCCCGTCTCCATCTTTATCAAATGCATCAAATGCCTCTTTTAGCTCTTGTTGTTTTTTTGTCATTCTATGTGGATCGGATAGTGTAGGTCGCATAAGTTTGGCGAATCCTTCAAAATCCAAGTAATTATCATTGCTGACTTCTTTGACCTAAAAGCTATATATAAGTATATAGTCATGAATCATTGTTTTAATTACCATTATGGTAGCTGCTGCTGTGTTATCAAGGCCAGCTGAATGCAGTAATTCATTAAATTCCTGGCAGGATATTTTTCCATCGTTATCTTTATCAAAACTTTGAAACAATTCAGTCAAATCTTCCTTCTTTTTGCTGCTAAGAAAGTGTGTGCCAAGGCTTAGTCGTTTCGACGACATTTTCTTTTTTAGAAAAAGAAGAAAACGACCTGCAAGTTGCACAGCAGGAATTTCTAGTTTAATGGAAAAAAGGCAACTCGTGACCATTTAAGTTGAGTCATTGGAACTCAGGCACAAGAGTTTTAGAACAACCTTAAATCACCCTGTCCAAAAGCAGTCCTGTCGGAATAAATATTACTGCAATATGAATAACCAAGACAGTGAAAAGACGTTGATTCATTTGCCTTCTTTTTTTTTTTTCCAAGAGAAATATTGGGTTATTGTTTATTTAAAAATATGAGATAATAATATATATATAGGAAAAGTAAAAAGATAGTACGATGCTAATAAAAAAATATACTTAGCTTTGACGTTCAGGAAATGTTTGAGGAATAACGGCAGCTTCTTTCATCATATAACATGATGTTTTGGCGGCATGGTTAATAACTTCCAATTTATCGCGTCGTAAACTATACATCAACTTCTTTCTTCTAAGATCGCTTATGTATAAATTCTCAAACTTATCAATTGAATCTGCCAATTCTTGACAGATATCTTACCAGAAGTAGAGTCATTAATAGTATCTGTGAAATTTGTACCAGTTACGGCAAGTTCTTCATGACTGAGGCTAACAGTATTGGTATCAACAGCAATACCAGAACGAAGAGTATATGGAACATCAGCCACTCTGTTAACTAAGAAGATATGCTTATAAAGTTTTGAATTACCAGGGCAGTTACAATAGAAGAGGGAAGAGGCGGCCATTTTTTAATTCGATTTCGTACCAAATGTAATCGTCAGCGAATGATTTACAATCATACATATCATCGTCATCTTCAGAGCGCTGAACCATACTTGTAGCAGTGCCTTCGTCAAGAGCATATGCCAATCTTTTCTTCTTCATATCATTTGGGCTTAATTTAACAGTTTGAAAACCGTACAAACATTTTAAAGTCTCCTGACGATAGCCGATCATCAATGTCTCTTGCAAGGTATTAATCAAAAAGTCGCAGCGACTGTGTCGAGTGCGACCAAGGTAGAATGTTTTCAATTGATTGTGATATGATTCAATCAAGTTGTTGGTATGGAAAGAGGCACTTGGTCGCCAGGCTTTACAGAAAAGCTCCTTTTTGACCAACCATCTTGTTCTAAAATAAGCAAAGAATTGCTCTTCGTCTTTGAAGCGAGTTTCAAAAGATAAATATACTAAGAAATTCTTCTTCAGAACAGGCACCCATCAACAAACCAAGACAAGCACGAATACTTTTGCGTTTGGGTTGACTGCCATGAGTATGCTTAGGCCCTTTAACCTGACATCATATAAAATTATTAGCACGAACATTTAAAATAAAGAATTTTATATGAAAATACTTGCTACAGCCTTAAGCTTGCTGCCCCATGCACGCCAGATATGCCAATGACACAAGAAAATTTGAACAGAGCCTTCAAAGACGTCTCTAATTGCAGCTGTCTCAGCAGAACTACAATCTATCATAATTCGCTTCACGTTCAAGGAGAAGTTGGTCTTTACCCAGGTTAACCACTGACGCTAAGCAGGAATGGTTTCCATATCAGTAATGAAAAAACAAACAGGTAGACCTTTGTTCGTGGTGTAGTCGTGAGCGACGATAGTAAACAGGTAGTTATCTTTAGAGCTGTCCGTAAAAGACTTACATGTTTTGTGAGTGCTCCGTGAACTCGTCTCTTTTTATGAAATACAAAGAGCTTTTGAAGTCAACCATTTCTTTTGAATAAATATTGACTAAATAAACAAAACCTTTAGCCAACCATGTTTGTTTTCGACAGTTTCTCTTTTCTTGTTGTGGGAAGGGGTAAAAAAAGCAAGTGGGACTTGATGAAAGCTGAGAAACCTGCAACCTACATGGCAACAGTGTTGTTGATTGGAATTCGTAGTAGCTCATTAAAGCTTTCAAGATTTTGCTGATTTTCTTGATGTGGCTAGGTAAACAATCATCTTTCTTATATGTTCTGTTCTAAACCCTCTTTTCTTTTCTTTTTTTCCAGCGTGATAACAACAATATATATATATATATACAACATTTATTAAAATAAGGAATAATAGCCTTTAGTTGATCGTCTTCTTTTTGCCTCTGTTTAAGCTAGGCCCCCATACTTTGACCGTAAAATCAGCCGAGCAACTGGCAAGGATAGGTTCAGTAGGATGAAAATTGACTGCATACACTCGATCTGTGTGGCCTTCTAATCGCTGCATCAACTCTGCGCTATCCTGTAATAATCAATGAGTACTTTTGGTTCGTCAAAGGGGTATTTTGAACCTTACTTCTCCAACGTTATAAAGATATGCATATGGATCTGCGCTTCCTGTAGCAAGCAGTACACTCTTTTCTTCCTTGAGCTCTTGAGGATCCAGTAAATAGTCAGCTGGTGTCGTTGCAATGTCGATATCCCCGTAATCATTCGCCACAGAGTGTTTACTCAAGATGGATGAATTATCTAATAGATTGT